CGCGTTGGCTTTTATTTCATTTTATAAAGAGTTGATCGATATAACAAAAAACGTTTATAAAATATAAAAAGTTGAATTACTTTGTACGATTTGAATCGTTTCAGCAAATGACTGCTGATAAATAGGTGTAAAACTTTGTAAATTCAAATTTCACTTATTTACTTACAGATTTGTATGTTAAAAATTTAAAGAATCAGAGATTTGAGATAATCAGGTACATAACTCTTTAATATATCTGTAAGTATTAATATGACACACAAATTAGTATTACAATAACTATATTTTCATTCTGTACAGTACGTTAACTGTTTTTCATGAGATACACTCGGTGCAGGCTATCATTGTTGTATTGTGAATATCACAAGTTATTCAAATCTTAAAATAGTGTTTGTCAAACAATATCATTGGCACAATGGTAAGCGTGCGAGGCAATCGAAGAACGAGGAGGCATTATTCAGCGGCCAAAGAAATAACCAGCCTCCAAGAACAATAGACGCCATAAGTAGCGACGTTTAGATCTGATCTAGAGCCTCAGCAACAAGGACACGCGGTCGTTTGCAACTACTACTGGATAAATGGTCGTAGTGTATATTTTTCCGGAAACATTGTATAGGCAGCGTACTCATTATCAAAGATAGTTTATCGAAACTAAACATTGTGTGACCTTGTAATTTCACTAGCTATATTCTATTTCATAAAGACAAGCGTCATGCTTGGTGGTAACTACTGCCCAGGGAACTTGCAGTGCTTACTGCGATTTGCGAGCCGTGATAGCTCGCCTTTAATTTAATATACTCGAGCAACCTGAGTTCGATTCCTGGTGCCAGCATCAATGAAATTGTCAATTTTAAGTACTGAATTATCACGTGCTCAGCGGTGAAGGAAAACATCCTCGAAATATTCTCGAAATAATAACAAAAAAAAATATTTCGAAGATATGTGAAGTCCACCAATTCGCAGTGGGGCCGAGTGGTGGACTATGCCGTGACACCCTCTATACAGAGGAGGCTTTTGCCCAGCAGTGGGGCATGTATAGGTTGATACTTTACTTTTCTGAAACTCGTTGCTGGACTTTTAGACAACAATCGGCCTTGGTGGTACTAGGTGCTTTATTCGCACATTAAGAACGTCAGCACGGTAACAGCACAAATGACAATGGCTGCGAAACGTGCCGATTTTGGCCGCTGTTGGCCCACAGCGGAAACAACCGGCTGTTAATGGACGACAATATCGATGCCAGTTCTGAATGTGGCGTCCTTCAGCGGCGGCTGTTGGGTAAATTGAGAACTGTTCACTTCGAACGGGATGTCGGTGTGGACTGTCTGTCAGCGTGTATATGGATCCCGACTTATCTTTATCGGATGTTGCTTTTGACGTGTAATCTTTATCAATATCATGCCTTACGAAAATATTATATTTTATCGGACTTACTAAAATCTATTAAAAGTTCACATGTGTTCGATTCGATTTCGCATGTCGGCTACGTTTTGTAAAAATCCAATATTCAAACCTCAACTTCAACGGTTTTCAATTGTTTATTAGATTACTGAGAAGTGTGAGAACTAGAACCTACACCTACTGTGACAGAGCTACGCAGTCTTTGCTGTCGCACAAACGAGAAGGCCCATCCGGGTCCCAAGTACCTAACAGAATGCCGGCTTTGTCCGGTACCGGTTTTGTCTGATGATTGAGGTAACGCATTTGCAACCCTACAAATGTCCGCACTACAAACCTACAAATGGATGCACATCCTAAGATATTCATTCCACGACTTAAGACTTCATCAAATATTTCATTTCAAACATGTTAGTAATTTTAAGGCACGATTGACAGTCTCGCATCCTTCCATCATCGTGCAACTAGACGTTTGGGGGGCTGCACCCTTTTGCTGTCGACGTTCCCCGCACACGAACCTTCATAAATTATCCTTTTATAAATTAGGCGTCATCAAGGTAAGAGTAAATAGGTTTTTATTAATTTAGCGCGCTTACCATCAACGAATGCATCGCCACTTACCATCAGGTATGATGGCAGTGAACCGTTGGCCAGTTTCGACTTAAAAAAAATGCAATACTGTAAGTTGCAGTGGTGTTCCACTTGTTGTGGTGTGAGTACTCTAAAGGATTGCGTTTGGGAATTCCGAACTTGCTGCACGCAAATTGCACCTTCCACGGCATTCCAAGTTGTCGGCAATTGCCAAATTAACAATGGCGTGAAATTTCTCAACCGCAATAAAGTTGCCGGTAGTGGCGAATGGTGGCAGCGTGACGGAATTTTAAAATTGCCTTCTACCATGGATGTCACAATCCCGGATAAGACAAATCTAACTCAATATGAACTGTAAAAACTCACTCATACTTCATGATGAAGTATTCGGATAAAAACAAGAAATCATAAGTTACCTTTTTATAATAACACCTACAGTAGAGCCAAGCAGCTTTGGCTGTTGCAACAAGGGAGGAATTACTCGCTTCTGGTGGTGTAACTGGAGCCGCACTAATTTTAATTCAAATTCAAACTTAACTATCTTTATTCAATGTAGGTGCAGTACACTTACGATTTTTGAAGCTTACTTTGGATAAATTCAATAAATAAACCTGGCATCTGCAATATAGTTGTCAATTTGCCAAAGGAGCTGGTTTAAAGGCCACTAAAGACATCTAGCTTTTTTGAAAAATCTATAGACACATTTTATCTGCTACTAAGTACTAGTTAAAAAGTGCAATTTTCATTTGCTGTTCACAGTTAATCGTGAACTAAGTAAATAGTTAACTGTCAAGCGAGTATAGTTTCAAGCACAAAGCCCACGGTGGTTGCGTGACTGGTGAACGAGGCACTCGTGAATTGAGTAATCTGTCTCAAAGATTTTAATTAAGACGCTTTTTTATTATAATCAAGTGCAAATTGCATATATTACGTTTACTACATTATAAACTCGAGCATGTAGTTTAAAAAAAGTAAATGTAACATTTGGATATCATTACGCAATATCATGGCCATTGGCCTAAAGAAGAAAGGGAAAATAATCTTAGGGAAACTGAGCTCATGGCTAAGGTAAAACGATAGAAACTTTGGAAAAAATGTATATAATTTCAAATCGGTGTAGTTTCCAAAGTTTAGTAAACTATGAGGCCGCAGTTCTTCCCTGGACGAGTCTACCCTTTCGTTAACAGCAATAGCTGCTGCGTGCTCCTACCACAGACTAAAAATAACTACGAAAAAATAGACCTTCATGGCGACTGCCGACAGAATTGAAAAAACTGTTTTACTTTTAAATCAATTATAGGAGGAAAAATTAAAATCTCGAATTACTGATTTTCGATTTTAAAATACTTGTTTTGTTTCTGACACTTTTAACCAATAAACAATAGTTTTGAGTAATTAATATTTTTTATAGAATTAAAATCGTAAAATGCACGATAAAGTGCTATCGAACAACGAGAAATTAGTTTAACAGAGGTCAAATATTAGAAAACGAAATGATATCAAAATTTTAACATCTCCAAAGTCAATAACAATACAATTGATAATGTCAGTGACGAATTTTCCCCACCCAAAATTGCCCATTATGCCTATAGATATTTTCACTCCATAATAGTTATGGGTCAAGCGGGATAAGTTATATAAGTTTGGTACCAAAACAAGCTCTCACCGTTTCAAAAGCTAAGCGCGAATTAATTAGCTACGAAGGCCGCTAACGCGAGACGGTCACCGTCAGCCGCCGTTACAGTGCCATACCGTTCGTACTGACCGTTGGGAAATTTCAATTTCGGTTATGATCAGATTTGCGCTGGGGGGCGTTGCACGCGAGGCTCGTGAATAGGCAGATGCGGTACCGTTACCAGGTGGGTTGCATGGGGCTTTCCAGCGAAGTGTACAAGTGACCGAGTTTCACATGGGAATGAATAGGCCCTGATCACGTCGCGATGATGGTTCGGTTTTGGAGTGCTCGATGTCATCGTAGATAACACCAATTCGCTGGTAGACCTGGGACAGTGATTCCATAGGTACCTTCTCACTTAGCCCAATTTTCGTCCAACGCGTCAAAATGTCACTAAATCTGTTTTTATCGTGAATGGGCTAGTTCTAAATAAAGTGCAAAATCCTGTACGATATAATATGTTAAAGGTGCAGTAACTAATGTTTATTAAGTAATACTAATTAATTTAAGTAACACTAATTATTGCATTTGATTGAAACTGCAATGGATATTGCTTTTCATCAATAATCATATTCGCCTTTGCTTAAATATTTCAATAAACGATTGTTTCTCCTCGGTACAATCAGACTAGAACAATAAAACAGACTTTATGTCCATTCAGTTATTACAAGGTTCTTATGTAAAAGTTTTAACGTATTTTACGTTGTCCTCAATATATTTGTCAAGCTTTATTATGACGCTTTGGATATGTCTAAATATTTCTTTTTTTAATTAAAAAAATAAAGTTTCTCTCACTTTAGGATAACATTATCCTTCCTGTGTTGCAAGGACGTTTTACATAGATAAATTTCACATGGACAAACACCCAGATGCGAAACAATTATCTGTGGGTCACAAAAATAGTTGTCCCGTGTGGGAATCGAACCCACGACCTCCGACGTCGAAGCCAATTTCTTGACGACTGCGCCACGGAGTCACCAAAAATATATTGATAAACTTATATTTATGTAACTACTGAGAGCAACTAGATTTATTATTATGATGAAGATTTTCTTTAGAATTCAAATGAAAATAGCTGAAATGGAAATAAAATATACATGTGAAAATAAAAAATAAAATATGTTGACCGGGCCATGCTATTTCACTCACTCAATTGCTCAATAGCGACATATTTAGCTGCCGTACATAGCTGGATATATCTTGTTATATGTCAATTGCTAAAGTTAACATAATGTCTGTGTGCACAGCCAGCAACTAACCACATCGGTGTATATAGCTTACACGGCAGTATTTTCATCTTGAAAGTATCATTTTATTATTTGATAGTTATTTGACCCACCTTGAGCTCCCGCAGAGGGCGCCAGGATCGCGAGCACGGCTATCCATAGCGGGGACGCCATTCTGCTACCGCACCATGCCGCCACCACACCGTCTCGCAGTGCGCTCTTCCAGTATTTGTTGACGCCTGAAGTAAAGATCAAAAGTAGAAACTATCTCCTGCCACAGTCGATTTTTCACTTCCCCATCCCGGCTATAGAGGAAAAAAGGTGTTGAATTATATAAGAGCTTTTAGAGAATAGAAGAAATATCACATAACCTGCCTTCTCTCAATAAGCAAGTGATTTTTTTGTTTACCCGTTGTGTTACTCTTATCGATATCTAAACTACTATAAATTTCTGTGCATCCCTATTTTTATTTATTTAATGTCTGATGTAAACATATGACATGGTTAAAATCTGTAGAAAAAGCTCGAAAACACGTCTTCGGTATTTATGCCCAGACGCTTTAACCACTAAGCTAAACGGCTGATTGCCACACTGACGAAAACCTCAACGTCTTTTATCTATATTGTTTTTCCGCATTTCAAGCAATACTGGTCGCATCCATTCTTCGCAGACATGGTTCTTCTAGAAAACATTCGGTAAAGAAAATAACTTAAATGTGGCTGTATTTTGTGTAGTGAAATAAAATATGAGTTTGAATTTCAAACAGCGGTTTTTGCACAATTATTTTGTACTATCTTAATAGATGGGCGTCCGTGGCGCATCTTGGAACACGCACCGAGGCGAACCCACGACTCCGTACCGTATTTAGAAAGCGGAAAGAAATATCAAAATCGCGTCGGCCATCGCTCGCTAATTTCGCTTTCTTTCGCGCGGTGATTTACATGTTTGAATTATTTGCTATGATCTCGCGACTGACGCGGCGGCCAATTGGGTAACGTTGGTTCCAGTGGCGGATCAACGCATGCATGAAAGGTAAAGTAACTGTCTATACATGTTCCTCCGCTGGGCAAAAGCCTCTGTACAGAGGATGTCAGGGCATAGTCCACAACGCGGCCCACTGCGGATTGGCGGACGCATATATACTAGCTGTCCCCGCGACTTCGTGGTAATTTTTTACGGACAGAGTTACTTTCGCATTTATAATATTAGTATGGATTACTGCGGACAGCAGTTATATTATTAACTTCTACAAAACGGTGAACTCGGCATAAGAAAGTTGAGACAAAATGTTTATCAAAAATGATATCAGGAGAAGCAATAACTTTTATAGTTTTGTTTTTTGAAATTTTCCAAGTGATTTAATAATGAACTGCATTAATTTGTGTATTCCGTTACGGTTTAAAAATGCCTTAATTGCTACGAAGTACAAAGACAAACACAATTGTGTACAAAGTGAAGTCACGCTTTGGTGTTAAGTTAAAGTTATGGGAGCTACATCGTGACGAATAACAGCAGGTTAACGTACTCATAAATTTAAAAATAGCACTCGAAGAAGGTATACAAGATGCGGAGTTAAATCAGCAAGGCAAAGAGTATTGCACACGGCTCTTGTCCGCGCGTGTACGTAACAGAGGTTCCGTGCCACTGGCGCCGGTCACGCTGCGTACATCTCGGCGAACTTAGCTGCCGTCGAAGATAATTCTGATTACGATACGACTTATTCACACTGAATATTATTTGCCAAACTTAAATATAGCCTCTGCTTTTTGGACACATTATGCGATCGTCGAGGCACAGACTCGCGTGGTAGGGCCACGCAGCAGCCTCGGCTGTTGCACAAATGGGCAGGCTAGTCTGGGTAAGCACCACGACCTCACACAAGACCGGTAAAGTGGAAGTATAACAAATACTTGTGAGTTAGGTCGGTTAGCCGGAGCCCAATTTTCAAAAGATTGTCAACGCATCTGCAAACCATGGGCCGCGGTATTTACTTAACATCAGGTGAACCGCCGGCTCGCTTGGCAACTTTTCTCATAAAAAAAACAGACTCGAGAAGCAGATCATTATAGGCCATGATATATGATAGGGATGAACGGCAGACGTGCTCAAGGCAGCGCACCGACAAGATGGGCTGACATTGTGAAGAACGGCGTAATATGCAGCATTCAGAAGCAATTCACATCGCCAAAGATCGCACGCAGTGGGACAGAACAAAATGTGGTCAGGATCCTCAGAATTCAGGGACCGAGCGATAAGAAGAAATATAGCGCCAACGGAACATCCAATATGTCCCTATTCATCAATTCAATTTCATTTTGTAAAGAGTAGCGAGAGCTCTGTCACACACCTATTAAGCTGCTTTACTACATAGTATAAAACAAACTCGTCCCGCTGTCTGTCTGTCCCTATGTATGCTTAGATCTTTAAAACTACGCACCGGATCTTGATGCAGTTTTTTACTAGATAGAGTGATACAAGAGGAAGGTTTATATGTATAATACATTGCACCCGTGCGAAGCCGGGGCGGGTCGCTAGAAATATATAGTTTAGTTAAAAGTTAATACACTACTCACTCTGTAAATCACGCAATAATTATTATAATCAAATTATGGACTGACGATACCCAAAAGATGTTACAGAAAGATAATTTAGTATTTCTTTAAAACACTAGAGAAGAAAATATAAATTAAAAAATACTTAGTCTTCTCTAAGTGTGTGACACTTCTTCGGTCGATCGACCGAACACGCAACAGGAACTATGTGTATGTAACGAGATGCTGTACCTCTGTATATTTGAAATAATTCCATCACTGGCTCACTCACAACTATATACTTGCTAATTGTAAGTTAAACGGTATTCAGTCAGATCACATAATTTTCTCTTCTAAATGGAAAATCCCCTAAAATTGTATTCGAAACTCATTCCATTACGCACGATTCTTCGATCGCAGTAGGGCCCTAGCCTCGTGCTGCGAGGGTCCCGGGAATAAAACCCGGCAACCGTGACTGCGAGAAATTCGATTCCCTGCTCGCCGGAGCGTGGCGCCGGGCACAGGTCGCGTTTCCTCCACTACACCAGGGATGGATACCGATTTGAGAAACGTCTTAATTCACGCTCATATCTATATTCAAACAACTACAACAGGAAAGGTGGCGTGGCTGTATTTTTCTAACACTTCAAAACGACGGTCTCATGCCTGCGCCGATCTTTACGTCACTCTGCTCACCCCGTTTCGATAAAATACGTGAAAGGTCTTATATCTCATCATCATAATGTTTCCAGCCTGTTGGAGTCCACTGCTGAACATGGCCTCCCTCACAGACTGCCAAGAGGCACGATCCTGAGTCATCTGCATCACTTTTGTTCGTCACTCCATTATATATGATCTTGGTCTTGTCCATGTTCATCTTAAGGCCCATTGTTGAGACTGTTGAGGTCAGTGAGTAAAGATCATTCAGCGATTTTGCCATGATAACTATGTCGTTGGCAAATCGAAGGTGGATGATGTCATAAAATTACTACTTCTTTATATCGTAAGAACATATCAGGTTCCCCTTACTGGTAAAGAAGCTTTAACGAGATAACGATTCAAATGTAACGTAGTTGTAATTCTGTGCTGAAGAAACGCTAAAACGAAAACGATAACCTAATACATGCCACTAGGAATACAAACTAGTAACATTCTAAGGCGAACCTTTCGCGGCATTTCCCTCATGGCATTTGGATAGATTGTCGCAGTAGCTCCGATTGTTGCAAGAGAAGGCTCTACCGAATAAATACAAGGGTCTCACTAAAGTGGTGGACTGGTTAGCGACATCGCATCTGCCATCACAAGACAGAGTTTCAAAAAGGAGTAAGAATAACCTTCTCTAATCATAAGGAAGTTTGTAGATAAACACTCCCTGCCAATGCTATGTGAGTAATACGGCAAGTCGTAGGTTCCCGCCAAAAGCCGCGCTGCGTACGGTACGCGGGCGGCGCACAAAAACTAGGCTGGAACACCGCCCGTTGCTCGTCACGCTCACACGATTCCCGCGGCACACCATGCATCGTAACTAACACACCAACGCACACGTACGGCACGCGAACTCCACGCAACCCGTAGCCGTAATTGACACGCCAGCGAACGGTTTCGATCTGGCCATAAAGTACTGGGTTAAGTGTTCCGAAAGAAGTCGAAATTGTTACCGTTGTACGTAAAGGTTTAAACGGGGTAGGGATGACAAGTTTTAATAATTCTCCAAGTCAAATCTCTGAGTCAAGCTTTCCCATTATTCGCGTATGACTATGTTTCGAAATAATTTAATAGTCCAAGCAATTGCATCAGTTTTCTCTAAGCCTCGCGCTAAATTATTTCACGCTATATATCACTAACTTAACATTTACGTTAGATATGCTCTAAATGCATGGAAAATTACTGCGACGTCGTACAGTACTCTAGTACTAAAGTTTGCAGTGGAACTGTGAACATTGAGCAAGCAATTTTACGTTTACACGTATGATTCTTTCCGCGTTAACAAATTTCTATGTTGCTAAATATTCTTTCCCGCTTTTGTCGTTCTTGTTAATTTCTAAATCTTAGGACATTACATTCAAGATTTCTATTTTTTGGTGTCAGTAAATAGTTAGGGTCCACTAGAGGATCCCTAGCGTCTTGCGGTGTCTATATTGTTTTAGAAATGGACGGAAACCAAAGTTACGCTCGTGCAGGCCTTAATTTTCTTAGCTACTTCGACCTGAATGCAGATCACCTCAATAAACTCGACCGACTTCTGAATAACTGCATTCGATTCGTTTTCAATCTTTGTAAGTACGACCATGTGTCTTTCTATCGTAGACATCTTCAATCGTCAGATATCTGTTCGTCAATAACGCTCTTTAAGAGCACAAACCACAATTTATTTTTTCTGGAGCCTTCATCCACATTGTCTTATTTATGTCCTCACTTTCAATACTTTTATACCGTTAAACGTAAGAATCTTCGCAGGACGCTTAATTGTATTCTTCTATGTCCCTCCCATCGTTCTGATTTCATTCACTCTTCTCTCTTCATTCAGTTTATTGTAATTTGGAATACGTTATCTCCTGAAATGAGGCTGGCTTCGCATTTAAAAGGAAAGCTTACGAACTCTTAATCAAAAAGTTATCGGCACAATCAATCCACTCTTATAGTGTATATATCTGTTTATCTTTATATATATAATTCTTCTGTAAAACGGCTGGAACGATTTTAAAGAAATTTTTTGTGTGTCTTCAGGGCGATTCCAGAATGCTTTATATTCACAATTCGGTCGACTACAATCTTTTTATTTTTTATTTTTTAAATTATAAGTTGTTGTCGGGTCTTTGGTACAGGACAATGTCTGTCTGGACCGCTAGTGTATATATTATGTATGTATATGTGTACATATGTTGTTATAATAGAATTTTAATGTTAATAAACCATACAAATGTTAATTATTGTCATATATTTTCAACTGGTTCTATTGGTTATGTTATTTGCAATGGGTTTATTTTGCGTATTATCATTGCGCACAATATTCAATTCCCACTGGGAACAAAAAGTGTTTTTGGGAACATAATATGTCCAGTTGCACCACACATGAATTATTTACTAGTGAGAGAGTCGTTTTAAAATTTTTAAAAATATGAAGATGTTATGAAGATATTAAGATCATAATTAAATTATGTTGCTTAAACGCCATTCCAAAACCATCGTTTTGTATAAGACTCCCCGCCGTAGGCTTGTTTTACGTCAAGAATTCCTCAAGTATTTAACTACCAAAAATTATGTCTAATCCGCGCTTAATCCGTTCGATCAAGGCCCCAGTTTTCATTGCAATAAGAAAGCTTACAGCTAATTTTCCACCAAATTCCGTTTCAAAGCATTTCGCCCCGAAAATTAGACAGCTGACAGACAATACTATGGTCTGATTAGCTAGTTTAGCAGCTTGCAGTGCTTTCCATGTCTTATCCTATTATCTGACTGACGGATTTAAAAAGGTAAAACCGGTAAAACGCCTTACGCAGACATAAATTATGGTGCCTTGTTTAAAATAAATCCTGTTCCCTTTACGTAGATCTTCTGTGAGATCGTGGTACTTATCCGAACGAGCCTGCCCATTCGTGCAACAGCCGAGGCTGCTGCGTGGAACACACTACACACAATGCTTTTAACGAACAAATTTCTGAAATTCATTTTGCATTGGAGACAATTTAGTTGAGTTTTGGAAAGTAAACTCGTGTGTTTTGAGGTTTTATTATGCAAAAAGTATTGCCTTGCCGGCTTCACTGGAGCGTAAGCTCAGATGCCTTGCTCTCGTACACTCAAGTGGGACTTTGTCGGAGATTACATTTATGTTTTGCGAATGCTTTCAAGTTATAAATACGAGAAAGGATTTTCCCTTCTTCTGAAACATTTCCGGATGGAAATAAATCGTAAATAAATGGTTCCGCTCAATGACTTTATAACATATGAAATACTATTTTAGTTTAATAAATAAATAAAAATTTAAAAGAAGCTTGGTCCGCATTTAAAATACATAATTTATAGTTAATTAAGTTTTTCGCGAGTCAAAGTTAGTACATTTTGTTTGTAGGTAGTGATATTACTTTTTTTTTATAAAAAGCGAAACAATAAGCAGATTAATTTTAACATATTAATTTTCTTACCTGAATTTATGTTTAAGTTTAAACAAAGTATCAAAACACTAATGATGCTTCACTTCACAGAATACAATTAACGAAATTAAACTTCGTTTAAATAAACTTCACGAGGTGCGTTCGATTGTCGGCGTAGCTAAGGGTCGTGCGGTCACGGTGTAAGGTGTACCGCCAACGACAGCCCGGTTATAACTGAAGGTTGCAGTTTATTGTCCGCTTCAGTCGGCCGGCCGCCATCGGAGGGTGACCGGGGGTGGAAGGTGGAGGTCACTTACCGTTACAACGGGGGAGAACAGCGGGTGCAATGATTTTCAACAAGGTCACAGCAGTTGCCATTCATCGCAATATCTAAATGAAAAACAAATAGATGACCGATTAAGTTGTCATTCACTCATGGCTTTGTCATTACTTATTATTCATGAAGTTACAGACTCAACCGAGTATACTTTTCGAATTTAGGAAACTATACTTTGTCCACATACGTCGGAACAGTATTTACATGTGTTATGTATATGAGGGTACATAATTATGTATTACGCGAGGCGCTGGCCGAGCGCGAATAAAGACAGTGTGTAACTGACCGCCCCATAGTTTGCTTGCATCTCTAAATACATAACAACATGCAAACTCAAGAGTAAAGTAATACAAACTGACTTCCCGGATATCCCGGATACGGAAATTTTTGGGAATCGTTATATTTTAATAACAACATGCGCATAGAACATCATGTTGCTTGGGGAAGCCAAAAGAGTTAATGGTATCCGTATCTGAGCAAATAGCAGATCGCCTTTGATCAAGCCAAGGTGCAGAAAAGTTCTCTCCATAAATGCACCAGTACGGCGGCATTGCGAGAAGTGCGGTGGCGGATGATATAGGGCATAACACTATCCCTTATGTACAGCTATTGTTTCTTTATTTTTGTTTAATTATGTTTTATTTATCAGTGCTAATCTATGCACTTAAGATGAAATTTAATGGGAGTTTTGTAGATAAAATATCAATAAGTTTCTTAGGTGCTTCGAACCGGCGTATTCCGCGTAACGGGTTCAGACGCTCTAGCTACCTACTCTACTCAACAAGTCGACATCTATATCTTCATTGCATTTTAGAATTGCGCTATCTAGTGCACATATTTACAGCATACCTACACTTTACATAGGCAATTTAAGAAAATATTAAAAAAAACATGTTAAACAATAAAATAAAAAAAATGTGAAACTAGCGTTTTTTTTTTATGACGTTATTTTTCAAAAAAATAATTGACTATATGCAACTTTACAGAAATTGGTTAAATAAAGTTAAATTAGATAAAGTTTAATAAAAGGCTTTTATTATCATAGACATAAATACAAATTCTACAATTATTTCATTTTAGCTTTGTATAATATTTAGTTTCTTATTTGTAATACATAGGTGGCGTTAGTAGCAAATTAAAACACACCATGGTTTGACCGTTGTAATTAGTATGGGGGTCCGCAAAAATTGTTGATTAAAAAACTTGCAACGTGAACCTTGTTTATTTCAGTTTACCTCACGGACCCAAAATACAACCGCTTTGAATTTGTACATGGTCCTTCGTTGCCGAATAGTCAGCCAGTGAGTAGAAGGCAAACATTGGACTCGCGCGCGAGTGTTGTGAGTGAAGTTTTTTTGGAAAACCGAACTTGCGGACGTTGGATCGACGTCGCAACCGCAAGTTCCAGGAGCCGATCGAGGCTTCGAAGAGCATCATCGGTCAGCTTCAGATTGTTTCTTCGGTGGAAGGTGCAGTCAGGTGTCACGGTGGGCGGTGCCTACCTTTGGAGAAGAGGAAGTCTCTACAGTGTCGTGTTCTGAAGTATTAGAGCTAGCACTGTCGTTACTACAAATATTATTATTGAATTTCATTAATTGTAATAGAATTATTACTATCATTGATGTCGTTATTATATATTTGTGTTCTTATGGTAACTGAAATACAAATAATAATATATTGTTTACATTTTAGAATTAACAGTTCCATCAGGATAATACCCCGGCTCACAGGTAGATCTTGCTAGTGATTGCAATCTACTTCCAAGGTTAAACGAGTATCTGAGACGACTTAAATTCGAAGATGATGAAGCAGCAGTTACTGCAGTACGTACATGAGTTTTTAGGTGTGCAGGATCAAAACTTTTTAAAAAAGGAGTTTTAGGCTTATAAAAATATATTTGTCGTGCAAATTCTTCGTGCGAAGACGCTAGACAAGTTTTAAAATTATGTAAAAAAATCTTTATATATCACTTTGTAGATGTCCATAGATTTCAACGACAAGATTTAATATTAAAAGAATTTCTTTTCTCATATATTATTTTATTTATATCTGTTTATGTTTATGTACGTTTATTATATTTTAGGGTATTTCTTATATTTTTTGTCTATTTTGGTATTATTAAGTAAGTTTATTGAGCACACCACCTCCCACTATTCAATAGGTTTATTTTTCCTCGTCCTAAGGTTTTCTGGAAGAGCTCGCTTTTTAACCATAAGACCGCTTTGTTGTACCTAGCTTTTAAAATTTATTTTATACTACTTGTATTAAATTCTTTGTGTTGGACAATAAAGTATACAATAATAATAATAATATTCCAAGTGTATTTCGCTAAAAGACGACTATATCGTAAAATAAGTCGTCAGTTTTTATAGAATTAAAGTTATAGAGATGTGATATATTAATAGAACTTTGTTGCATAAAAATATCGTCACATACAATTATAAAAAAAATATTAATAACGTATGAAATTATAAATACACAAAGTCTAAGGTTGAGGTTTGATCATGATGTACCGTTATCTGTATAGAGAGTTGTATGTTTTCTGTAAATAAACGTCAATTGTTGAAATTGTCAGTTTTGCTATTCGCATCAGTTTTGTTTTTCTTTCTTTTAATTAAGAAAACTATTTAATTATTTACTTAGTTATGACTGCAGAACATTCCATGCTGGGTTTTAAAATATAATGTCTGCATGGAAAAAAAGCAATACCGTGGATAAACATGGCCGAAACAAGTGCAATGAACTCCAGCAGTAGAGTAAACGATGAAGAGGTTTTAAAAAATAGGGATCAAATCAAAGAGGAGATAGATATAACCGTGAAGCGCGAACCTATAGAGTGTTTGGTGTGTGTTGACCGCAGCCCAGATGTGTATGAAATCCACAGCACAAAAACAGTATCGTCAGGTTTGTCGCTTCACAACTTCCTCAGCAAAGTTTCCCATGTGAACTTAAGAAACTGCGAAAACTATTCCAAATTTGTATGTAAGACTTGTTATGACCTCGTTAACGAGCTTGAACGTGCTGAAATAGAATATTTCAAGCTAAAAGAAGCTTTCGAAAGTATTATAAGTAAAAACCCCTTGTTCGACTCTCGGACGTCGTCTTCCAACCCCAATGCTATTAAGGATGAGGTATTTGAGACTGTGTATAATGAGTTTTGCAAAAGTGATAATAATGACTCGGAAGATGAGCCATTGGCCCTTACCAAAAACAAACGCCTTCGTAAGGTTGATAAACGAAGAAAGAGGTCAACTGTTGATAGTAAACGGAGGCAACGGCACAAGAGTGAAAATAATAGGTATGGTGATAATGCATAAACTACCTTCGCCTAATATTACAATTATTGTACCCTCTACATAATCAATATACAACAATAGGAGAAATAATTTCAAAAATATTTTATATAGTTCTTCATTCCCCAATTGGTAACATTAATTTTAAAGGATTTTATTGGGCTATCATAATTTATAAGATGTTATCTGGATGTTAGTAAAATTTATTTAAAGTAATAACATAAAAATTCAATTTCTTTGCTCAAAATATGAATATTTGCACCATTTTTTGCTTATTAATTAATTTCATGACTGAGTTTCTCTGTCAATTAAAATTATTTGTAAATGTATATAGAGTTTATTGGCAGTTTTTAAACAATAGCCAAAGATAAGTTGCATAGTAAGTGTACAATATTTTAAAATCTCAATTAATTTATTTTCAGTTGGGAATGTGCAACATGTGGTCTGACTGAAGATAGTGGTGGTCCTGATGCGCTGGAGGCACATATGCTTTCTGTTCACAATTGCAACAAAGACAATATCGAGATTAAGGATGTAAAAAAAGAAGATACAATTGATGAGTAATAAGAATGGCTTATTTATTAATTAATGAAGAAATTTAACCTCATTTAAATTAGATAAAGTAATTATAAAATAAGGGGATATGCTGTTAACAATTTCTAAGAGTTGAATTCATTACATATATTCGTTGATTTGTATCTAACAAATTTTATTCAAAGTGTTTTAGTAACAATTTTCATTATTAGATTCCAGGGTTCAGTTGACTCATTGGATGCTGATTTTACAATCAAAAGTGATTTTGATGATGATGACAGCCCAAATTTTGAGCCTGAAAGACTCAGTAATGGTAGTAGAGCGAAAAAATTGGAATCGCATAGAAAAAGTTCAATTCCAAAAAGAAAAAAAAAGCGAGAGGACAAAGTTTTGCATCAGTGTGATCAATGCGATGCAAAATACACATCCCTATGTAAGTTTTTGCTATATTCACATCAAGATTTCTATGATGGTGCCATAATTTAATGATTGTATTTGATACAATCATTATATAGAATGTTCACATTAAATTAATTATTTAAACACTTTATAATGATTATGTTGTTCTTTGATAGATGGGTATCTTAAACACTTTCTATAAATTCTATATACTAAAGCAACCTGAAACAATCAATGTGTATTTTGAATAGAAGTTATAAAAAAATATTTCAAAGATATGTGAAGACTGGCTCGGTGAAGATGATTAGCTAGATGGTGGCGCCGTTCCTAAGCTAATGGTTTTGGCATTGTGGATTTAATTTCCACATGGGACAAGTGTTTGTGCGACCCACAGATAATTGTTCTCTTAGTGTTTGTTTTTCATGGAAGATATATACAATATAGTCAAAACCATTTACGACAGTATTCACTTGTTGTGTTGACCCCACGATAAAGGCAGGAAGATGATGATGATAATGATGACATGTTAAGACCGCCAATCCGCTGTGGGGTCATGTGGTGATGTGACTATGCCCTTAATACCTCAAGGCTCTTACCTAGGAGTAAGACATGTTACTTTGTTTTGTTTCTATAAGTTTTTTTGAGTTCAACTTGATTTATATCTTGTGAAAACTTGCGTTTTCAACGGAAAAGTGCTCGTACTTTTCTTATATGGTGGTAGCTTTGCATAACTTGGTTCGGCCTTGCATAACAGTTTCACTAGACTGTGACAATTGAAGTGAGGCGCGAGCGTAAGTGTAAATGTGGTGAGAGGCAAGCCACGACTTGCGGGCCTCGATGTCGAGCTGATGTGATATGTGCATGACGGCGGCAGTGCGCCTGGAGCAGCACAAGCAGAGGCACGACGACTCGAAGCCGCCCTACATCTGCGAGGTCTGCGGCGCCCATTACAAGCACAAGCGCGCCTGCGACATACACGTGGCGCTGCACAAGGGTATGCCAAGTCAAATATCCTTATCAATATGGAAGCATTACGCTTACTTATTGATAGTCAACTAGCTCTACTACCGGTTCGGAACGAAACCCGAGAAGAACCGGCGTAAGAAACAGCTTATATATATGGTTATTGCACCTCACCCTCACATTCGCCGCTCTCGACTTTAGAGATTATTTCTTTTAGACTATTGTCCTAACAGTTTTGACATAGAATTTGGACCTTTGAACAATTTTGGACACACTGTATTTGAAAGTGGTTGGACGAACAAGGGGACATGGTTGGCACTGATCGGCCGTGTTTTTAATTAGCCTTTATTCAACAGGTATAAGCGACTGGAAATGTGAAGAGTGCAATAAACTGTTCCCATCTAAAGGGGCCTTACAGAGACACAACAATATTCATACGGGTAAACTTAATTATCAGGTAAGGAAACACATTTAGTATGAGAGTTTCATTATAATTAACTCGATTGGTTTTTGTAAAAATTTTTATCAATGTAACTGAGAAATTCTATATGATTAATCAAGATGAATGACTAATGACTTGACATATTAATTTAAATAATAATTAAAAGATTTAATAAGAGTCATCCCAAGTACAAGCCGTTTGCGTCCGTCCGCAGTGCGACCTGTGCGGCAAGTCGTTCATCCACACGTCGTCGTTCCAAGATGCACAAGCTGTCGCACTCGGGCGTGAAGTCGCACGCGTGCGACGTGTGCGGGCTCGCGCTCATGACGCGCTCGCACCTCAAGCGCCACAAGCGCATCCACAGCGGCGAGAAGCGCCACGAGTGCGCCGTGTGCGGCAAGCGCTTCTCCGAGCGCTACAACCTGGTGGCGCACGCCAAGGCGCACGAGGCGGCGGAGGGGGCGGGGGCGGGGGCGGGGGCAGTGGCGCCCCGCCGCCGCCTCTTCCGCTGCGCCTTCTGCCACGAGCGCTTCGACCGCAAGTTCCTGCTGGAGCGGCACTGCACGGCGGCGCACGGCCGCGCGCTCGAGCGGCCGCCGCCCACGCCGCGCAACACCATGAGCAAGCTGCTCAAGGCGCAGGCGGCGGCGCGCAAGCACGAGCCCGACGCGCCCGCGCCCGCCCACGCCCACGCGCCCGCCCACGCCCACGCCCACGCCCACGCCCACGCCAAGCGCGAGCCCAGCCCCGACGCCGCGCACCGCCTCATCGCGCACCTCGGTGAGTGCCCCGCATCTAAGACTGCTGACAAAAACCTAGGGCGATAGACGCGGTCCTTGAGGGACGCCTCCACTCACCAGACGAAACGCGAAAGCATAACTTTCACTCTTTGCTGGTTTTCTATGAGGCGTTGGTACTTGCCAGGACGAGTTTGCCCATTTGTGTAATGGTACAATTTAATTCTATCGCTGCCTGAGACGATTTACACTGGTGACACTGCAGCAAAAAGCAGCGTCCCCCTACATTAACGCTCGGTCTGTTCACGCGCTTTTAATTCATTATACTCAAGCAGCCTGATTTCAAACTTCGATGCCGGTACCGATGAAATTGCAATTGATAATCGGTGAAGACAACCTGTATATTTATGAAATAATAAAAAAATATTTCGAAGAGATATGTGAAATCCGCCAATCCGCAGTGGGATCGCGTGATGGACTATGCCCTATAAATACCTTATAGATGAGACCTTTGCCCAGCAATGTGACATAAATAGGCTGTCACTTCACTTTTCACGGATCTCATATCCGAAACGTGTGCTCCTGCGAATGGCGCCTCAGACTGAGGTACTAATTGCAGCGTCGGGCGGCGCCACGCCCGCCTGGGGCGGCCACTTCGCGACGCGCTCCTTCCACTGACGCAAAGCCGCGCCACCGCCAAGTGCCCCCCCCAATCGGCCCACGCCTTACCTGCTTTGGGGGGCTGACGGATGACTAACAATGGACCCCTACCTATTGCCCCACATGCTCTTCCTTTGCCTATAGGGAAATGGTTTTTGAATAAAATCTTTTCCCGTCACCATCTTTGACGCTGCCTTCCGATCCTCTAGCGTTATGTCCTCATCATCCTATGGTACGAGCCGATCTGGTTCTATGAGTATGATAAGAAATGAAGTAATCGTAACATTGTGTTTTATAAATACTCATTCTGCCGTCTATGTAAAATATTTAGGTACTTTATGAAAATTATCCATCTGATATCTTTCATAAAGCCAACCTTCAGAGCCTTTGGTTGCAAATATAAGTATATCAAATTTAAATCTAAAATTACCCTTTGAAGTTCTGGTTGAGCAGACTATTTTGTAAGTCCAATAAATGCTTAAGAATATTCTGGAATGATTCTAATGCACAAAATGTAAAGGAAAGGCAAGGAACAATGCAACGATGAAACTGCAAATGGCAGTACCTAGTTGCTCTCGTTGCAATGCTCCAGCGACGGTGGGTCGAACATTCTCGAAATTGCAATATTATTGTAAATAGTTAAGTACTTAGGCTAGTCCGTATGCTACCATTGTACAGGACGAAATTGAGAACAATATTTTTATACGTCTGTACTACTAATACTAACGTCGCGAATTAACGATCCCGGCATAGACATTAAATGTAAATGTACATGATACGTTATTTTAAACTGTATTGTATATTGTTAAATATTATACGAGTATTTGACTGCACGATTGGTTATTTTATTGAATAGGGAAATAAGTATAATTTTAATGTTTCATATCATCATAAAAGATGAGACAACATTTTTTGTGATAGATCAAGATAATTTGGTTCATGTTATTTTTTGTCAACTGCCGTTGATGTTGATTCTAATAATAACGCTTGTCAACATGGAGCAAACAGATTACATGCAGTTAATGTGGCCGAAGTAGCTTCGTCATTTGAATTCGATGAGAATTCGGAAAAACCTGGGCGTAACTTTACTGCGATAGTAAATTGCCTTAGTTTAAAACGGTGCTATTGGTAAACGGCTTAGCAAAACCTTGTGTGAATTCGAGAACATGTGATTTGTCAAACTATATTTCAGAACTTTCGATCTGTATAGTTAAATTGTCAATAGCAATCAAATTTTCTCTTCAGATGATAACATAAAATAAGTAGCATTTCGTCATACAGAAAAATTGCCGCATCTATAGCATAATCAACTTCTTTTATGCAAAATGTTCTATTTATTTTAATAATAACATCAACAAACAACTGAGATGCCGAATCTTTACCCGAATAAAACATTAAAAATATAAATTTGTATTTTACTCGCTTTGATTAAATATGAACAGTACTATGATGTAAAGAAGTTGTATGTATAAGTAATAAACATGCTATGATAAGGCGTGGCTAAATAACTTCATTATTGTACAGTAACGGTTACAGTGATGTATTTTGATATTGGTTTGTGGACGTACCGAATTAAAACGTTACCGGCATTGATTAATTTTTAACTAAATAGTATAGTAAAACTTTACTTCTATATCTACTGTGGACTCCGATCAAGAACTCGTATCTAGCGTTAACGGTGATGTTGGAAACCGCTAATGTTTTGTTGTGAATTATTCGCGACTCATGGTACACAACTGCACTCGCACAAAACGCATCGTCTTATCGTTTGGCAGAAAGATAATGAAAGCATCCGATATGCAATCGAATGTCACGACCGAACGGAGAGATTACAGAGCGCGGTCAGGGCTAAATAGACTGGCAGTATCAGAGAGGCAAGTCTACTGCAACTACCACTGTCATCCAAACAATTTGATACTTCGATTAGCGCTTGATATCGCCTCAACCGGATAATGTTGCCAAAATGTATAAATAGATGAACGTAATGTGATCATTTGAGAAATATCTGCCAATATTACTGAGTTTAATCGTGCCGGAACCGAGCAGTGGATAGTGGATGGTACTAGTGAAATGACCAGTGGGTCCTATCGAAACATGGACGAGCGAGGCAGCTGCGCTGTTGTGGTACGTGACGCGACGAAGGACGATATGGCGGAATTGTACGAAATGATACAGGTATGAAACAATGCTACAGTTCAAATGCATATTCTAATAATTACTCTTTAGCAATTGCTTCCGACGCGTTGACGTCTTCGAAGGCTTGAAAATTTTAACACCAGTTACTTTGGTCAGTTTCTGACTCTATCTTGTGGCGATCTCTTTCTTCTGCCTTGCCAAGTAGACTGTTAATAATTAATTTACTTTGTTACGATTTGGCTACTATGTTGATCGTCTTTCCCAATGAATTAAGTAAGTCGTGCTACAAAAAATTATCATTGTGCCACTATATGAAATGTTTGATCTAATCCAGGAACTGGCGGTTTACGAAAAGTTGACAGACGACGCGCGACTCAACATTGAAGGTAATATAACTCTTTTGTCTGTTTAAATAATTGTGTTTAATGTTGAATCTGACCAAAAATAAAATCCAAATTTTATATGAGATTCTAAATGACATTAATTTGTAAAGATTGAAAATAATATTTGACATGGTTGACGGAGGACGATTGGAATTGTTCAATAGTCCTTAGTCGAAGTCGATTAGGACGGTGGCCAATTATCCTATGATGGCGGTGCAGACCTGGTGCGGGACGGCGCTGGGCCGCAGCCGTGGTTCGGCTGCAAGGTGGCGCGCGTGGGCGTGGACGTGGGCGTGGGCGTGGGGGTGGGCGAGGGGCGGGGGCCGCTGGCCGGGTACGCGCTGTTCCACCGCGCCTTCGGCACGTGCTCGGGCCGCTGCCTCAAGCTCGAGGACCTGTTCGTGCGCGAGCCGTTCCGCCGCCGCGGGGTCGGCGCCAGCCTCTTCGCCGCCGTGGCGGAGGTGGGCCAGTCTATCGCCGGCTCGTCTCAGATGAACTAATATAAATTTATCTCTTTTTACGCAGTTCGCCTAATGTTATGTGATAACCGCCGCCCATTTGCAACACCCGTGGGGTTGCAGATTCCTTGCCACCTCATTCACCAGATGAAGCGCTGAAATATATATATATATATATATATACTTCCGCTTCACGCCGATCTTCTGTGAGGTCGTGGTACTTACCCGGACTGAACTGCCTATTAGTGGAACAGCGAAATAACGTGGCCCTTTTTTTAAACCTTCAAAAGATACCCCGTCATTTCTTACACGATAGGATTGTGTGGGGTTCTTACCCACTAAAATCCCCTCGGTGACCACCTTCTATACTTTTGGAAGGATTCCGGGATCCCCTACAGAACGCACCGGTGTCCCTCGGTACTGCGCGTGAGCTCGTCGCGAAGAATGTTTAAACCTTCCCCGATTTCCTCACCATCTTGCAACAGCGCGAGACCACTTCGTACCGCTACCGTCCGTGTCCTCTTTTACGATAGGCATAGGTGTCCCTCACCTTAGCCCTATTCTATGAGCCCGAGTTTGCCCTATCGGGTGATTAGATGCTTGAAACACTCTTGTGGAAGCATCGCAACGAGGCGGTCGATCGGCTGGCGCAGGAGGCGCTGGCGCTGGGCTGCCGGCGCCTCGAGCTGCACGTGCTGGCTTGGAACCCGGCGCGCTCCTTCTACGAGGCGCGGGGCGCCGAGGAGCTCTCCGCCCGCTGGCGCCTCTACCGCCTGGGGCCCGACGAGCTGCGCCGAGCGGCCCACGCCCACTCTTCCTCCCACGCCCACTCTTCCTCCCACGCCCACTCTTCCTCCCACGCCCACTCCCACTCCTAACCCCGCGCGCCTCGACTATCAGAATGTGCAATCTGTACCAAATAAATGTTGCTTCAAAATCGTAGTGCTTTTAGTCACTAATGTAGTGTCATTATCTCGCCCTTGTCAAAGACAGACCCGACGTCTCCGGTTGACGTCTGAAGATTCGTTTGCGATTTACAAGCGTTTGGTTTACACATCTGACGTTTATATTTTTAAAAATGGACAACAAATTGAATGAAGGTGAAGTGATAATTCGTGACGCTACCGAGGAAGACATGATCGCGGTTGCCGCAATGGCCCAGGTTATACCGACTAATTAGGTACCTCTTGTTTCACGCTAAAATCGGTATTGTTTTATCATTTCGGCTTCTTGTCTACAGGAGTTGGCAAATTACCAGAATATGCCTACCAGCCCTAAATTGACAGCTAAATGTATCTGAATAAATAATTATTATCAAACCGTTTTTATAATGTAATATGTACAAATTAAATCATCTGTTTTATAAATTAAAACCCGTAATAATTGCACAGCAAGTCTGGAACAAATTACATTAATAAAACATTTAATGTGGTCCGGGCCTTTATCAGTAATTTTTAGGTACATATATAAGACTTATAATTTTTAGTTCATGGAATCATAGAATAAAATAATTACAGTAGAATCCACATTTACATTGAAGGAAAATGATATTTCGGTGATACTGAGCAGATGTTGTACAAAGGAGAGTTGAACTTCAAAGTAAAACGGACTACAGGACACATAGGGCCCCTGATTGGTATTCCTGTGTTTCCCATAATTTTAACAAATCATCGTATCAAATCTTCATCCATATTTCCTGTGTTTATTTCGTAGTGACATTGTTTTTAAAATGCTAGAGTTAAAGGATTTCTTGATTTTTTTCATATTCATGAAAATTGTCGAATGAGCAACATTATTTCCTAGACTAGGCCAAATTCCTTTGCAAGGGAAGAATTTCACTCAGTTTTTGAGTATGCGTATAATCTAATCTAATGACAAGGCACCTTTTTCTTCAATTTTAAAATCTTTCTGATGTCACGGAGACATTTTCCGCGAGCGTCCTATTACTATACTATGAATCACTGCGTCACATTAGAATAACTTTTCATTAAAACGCCTGGGAAAGGTCACAAGATGCATTAGGTGTCTTTTGCGACCTTTCAAAAGCCTTCGACTGCGAAGATCACAAAACCCTTCTCCGCAAGCTAGATTATTATGGCATTCGTGACAGGATCCTCAATTACCTTAGTAATAGAATTCAAAAAGTATCCAGAAATGATGTTAATTCCGCAGGGTCCCCCATTAAATGGGTCCCACAAGGATCAATCTTGGGCCCATTATTATTTCTAGTATATATAAATGATCTACCCTCTTATGGCAGTGAGTTTTGTGTTTTGTACTTTTTTCTGACGATACATCGCTCATCTTTAAGGTTGACCGAATTTTATCAAATTACGACGACGTAAATGGTGCACTTTCGCATATCCTTCACTGGGTCACAATAAATAATATGGTATTAAGTGCCAAAAAAACTAAATGTATTCTTTTTACTCTTCCTAGTGTAAGAAGGCAAAGTTTTAGTTTTATATTAAATAACGTATCCCTCAATCCTGTTGAGTCCACTGTTTTCTTGGGGATTACAGTAGATTCAAAGCTCCAGTGGAGTCGCCATCTATCATCTCTTGCGAGTAGGCTAAGCTCCGCTGTTTTTGCGATTAGGAAGGTTAAACATCGACACTGCCAGACTTGTTTACTTTAGTTATTTTCACAGCATCTTATCGTACGGCATTTTTTTGTGGGGTAGTGCATCTGATATAAATTCTATATTTATTCTTCAAAAACGAGCTGTCCGAGCAATCTATCATCTGAGCCCGGAATACACTCAGAGATCTTTTTAAAGAGATTAATATACTCACTGTTGCGTTCCAATATATTAATTGTAATATTTTGGGTAAATGTAAATAACTTTAACTCCGACGTAATTCAATTAAAATAAATTTTAAACGATAGAGAAAAATCTCTAATGAATTAATCAACAAGCAGAACGGTTCTGTGACTCATTAAATTAAAAAAAATCGGAATATCGATACGTGTATGATGTCGCCCGCTTCCTATATTTATCATGTTGGCAGAACTGTGTAAAGAACTTTTGAAGTCAAACAAATAAAATGGTGGATTTCTTAGTACAAAAAACAAGTTTTAAATATTTTTTTTCTCGAAAACTATAAGCGACCGCCGAATTCTGCTTGTTGATAAATTCATAAGTGAGTTTTCTCTATCGTTTAAAATTTATTTGATTTGAATTACGCCGGAGTTAAAGTTATTTACATTTACCATATTTTGTATGTTAGACATAATCTTAATTGTAAGTTAAAGAATAGTGACAGACATAAATTAAATACTATAAATAAGGACAAATTAATTACGCCATTTTCTTCTACAAAAAGTTAAAAGATCGTTCATGGGGCAAAGTGTGCGCATGTATAATAAAATCCCACAGTCAATATTAAGTCTGCCACTAGATAAATTTAAACGCAAAATTAAAAATAAACTTATGGCTAAGGCATATTATACCATTGCGAAATATCTTGACGACGCCAATGTGTGGGGACATACTTGACATACTTGTCCTATTATATTGTAAACTAATCGTTTTAAAAAAGAGCAACTTGAATTTCTTGCCGGTTTCTTCTTAACAGAAACTGCTTTCCGAACCGGTGGTAACTTACGAACGTATTAATTTTTATGTAAAATTTTGACATTTCATAGGAACGCGCAAGCGTCTAAGTGAATAAATATATTTTTGAATTTGGTTTTTATTAAGGGTCAAAAATAATCGATATGGGCAATGCGTAAAACAATTCAAACAATATCAATAAATTATAGACATATACTTTAGAGACGCAAAATAGCTATAATCTTTGACTCTTGGCTTTTTTTAATACTCATTATAAACGGTATATCAATAATAAGCGGACTCACTATAACCAAAACAACACTTAGGAATTGTATTTAGGCCTAATGGCTTAATGGCCTAATGGCCTAAAGGCTTAATGACCGACGGCGACGTATTTTATTGTATTAGTAAATATAATTCAATATAAATAAACTAATAATTCGTACTCAGAGCTACGACGCGATGGCTTCGAAACGCCGCGGCCGCAATTTCGTTGTAAGATGGCGGAGCTGAGAACAACGGGAAAGGACAGGCTCGCCGTCTACTTCCCAACTTATTCGACTTGGGACGGAAAAGCTATGATGCTTCGAAATCTATTCGTGAGGGAGACTTATCGGCGACATGGCGTGGGGCGAATGCTCTTCTGTAGCGTCGCAGCGGTGAGGACATGGTAAGGTTCTCCATCAACCGTACGGAAATATTTAGGCAAACTTACGTTCTTAGATCTGTGTCTAATATAAAGTAAAAGGCACACACAAAGTTCCACGCCTTAAAACAAAAAAGTCTGGTAGTCATTTTCTATGCTTATTGTATAGGATCCAGTTGCGTCGGTATGCGCCCGTTTGGATTTCCACGAGCTCGCGTGGAACCAGGCGCGTGTCTTCTATCGCGATCGGTGCCGAAAGCCTGACAGAGAGTCAGGACGCCTGCTACTACATGCTCTTTCGAGGCGTTCACCTAGTTTGCTACGAAAACGCGCAATTAATTCTTCGTAGATTTAAAAAACTGGCGGCCGTTACAACGCATAACTTACATGACAAATACGGGATTCAGATATACTTGTTTAGTTTTTATAGTAAGGCCTAACCAAAAATACATAAATTCTCCTATTTCAGCAATATTAAAAATATTTCTATAATTTGGGATTTAACAACTACCTACCACAAATCCATTGTATTAATTACCTTCCCGTTGTTTTCGTGCAGCTTAATACCGTTTTTTATTCTGAATACTATTTTATATATTTTATCAATCCTAAAAAAATCTTTACTATCAGTAAGTAAATATTTCACAACATTTAAGTTCATTTGTAAAATGGTTGTTTATATTTAATGTATTGACGATTCTTTGGTTGGAAAATCATAACAGTAATTAGCATATTTGCATATCTATTGTGATTACCTCTAGACGCGTTATTCATTCCGTTGGTGCAAAAATATAACATTGATTAAATACTCTATAGGACAATAATTATACCAACATATTATATATCATGTCATTTCTCATAAAAAATACATTAAAATAAGTACCTATCTAATTATCATGAATATTTAATGAGGTATCTGCACTGATACAATTTCGAAGTATAATATGTAAATATGAAAATAACATAACACAAGCCCTGTATAAGCGTGTCGTTACCATCGCGACAGTAAATGAACACACGTCTAACGCTACTTGCCAATAAACATAAAAAAATATTAATGTTAAAAAATCCATAATTAAAAAAAAATATTTTTCAAACAAACTAATTAGTTAAAAAGAAACAAAATTTGTAACATCCTATACAACTACAACTGACTGATTCATACTTTCAGACACTTTTTCATTTGTTACCACAGCGTCGCATTAAAAGCTTCTCCTTCTAACAGTATGCTTTGTCTCTTTTAAATTCATTCAACCCATTCATATGCTTTGTGACCTTTACAAATGAACGTTACGTTACAGTTTTATACGTAAGAGTGTTCTAAAATTCTTTGTTTTGGAAAATTTAATTACTCGGTAAATATTGATCTATAATTAATGCAAATATTCAATACAATTTTAAAAAGTTATCCTCTGTATGTACGTACTCGGCTGTGAAGGAAAACATCGTGAGGAAACTTGCATATTATCGAAATAATAACAAATAAAAACATTTTTCGAAGACATCTGAAGTCCGCCAATCCGCAGTGGGCACGTGGTGGATTATGCCCTGATACTCTTTGTACAGAGGAGGCCTTTGCCCAGCAGTGGGATGTGTATAGGCTGTTACTTTACCTTTTACTTTTATGAATTTACTAGTGTATTTTTTGTCTGATAATATTGAGTAATTTTTACTTATTTTACAAAATTAAAAATCTATTCTTACATATTTTATTCTTTTAATTGTGTATAGATTCAACACTAGGCAACTGGTTTTTATCTGTATTTTTAATTTTTATATTGTATCATCAAATCGTCAATTTACATTTATTCAATTCAATTTAAATTTATTTAAATTTTAAATGTCTACTTTTGGGACATGACAGTCGTTGCTTAATATACAAAAATATTACCTGAATTTTTTATAGTATTTATATCAAATAAAGTTAGTGATTTCTAAAAATGGTCGATAAATTCAAAGACGACGAAATAATTATACGTAAAGGCACTACTAATGACATGGTTGCGTTAGCTGATATGATCCAGGTAATTGAGTGAATTTCTTCCATTTTTTTCATCTGTTTATCTTCATGATAAAGTTTTTAATCTTAATGTTTATAGGAGTTGGCTGACTTTGAGAAGATGCCCAAAGGTCCAAAGCTGTCTGTTAAAGGTGTGATTAGAAAGAAAGAATAACTTTATTACATTTTACTTAATTATTTGTAGACCCATTTCATGCTAGGCTTTCTTCCTAACAAAATTTATTTTTTGTGACGTTTTCTTTAGATCTCCAACGTGATGGATTTGAAACCCAGCCACCTGCATTTTTGTGTAAAGTAGCAGAGCTAAAGCCATCGGGCCCGGTTGTAGGCTATGCTTTATATTTCCCAACATATTCGACATGGGAAGGCAAGGCCTTGATGCTAGAAGATTTATATGTGCGGGAAAAATATCGTCGACGAGGGATTGGGCAGAGGCTATTTTACAGTGTGGCTTCGGTAAATAAATGTGCACATTGTTATTTTTATGAATCACTTGGATTAATTTTTTGAATTCCACTCAAATGGCAAGACTGCTGTAGATTTAGGATTGTTGAAATAACCGAGTATAATTTTATACTGTAATATAAATATTGTTGAAATAACCGAGTATAATTTTATAATGTTTAAGTTACTCATAATTTTATGAGTAACTTAAACATTATCTCTTGAAGAGAATTCATATGCTACTCTTGACATAATCAAATTTTTACTGAGCTAGAACATTTCAAAAATAGGAAAACCACTATATTGAATGATCTGATGGTAACTGGTTTCCTGATATTTCAATAATTAAATAATATTTTTAACAATCTATGCATAAATAAAGCATTTATATTTTAATTGTTGCCACTACCATCAACTTTTGTAATATACTGCTAATTAAAACACTTTGCAGTGACATGCCGCTGCATTATATTAAAATTACTATTATTTGTTTTATCGTTCTTTATGGGTTCCATTTAAAGATACACAAGCTGTTTGCATTTTTAGTTTGTTTTTTATTAATAAATTATGATGATATAAAATGAAGGATGAATTAATATTTAACAATGGTGCTATTCTTAATGTGATGAAGAAATAATAACAATAAAGTGAATGGGAAGGTCCGGCTGGGTAAAGACCACAACCTCACAGAAGGTGTAAAGTGGAAGTACTTCTGCATTTCGTCTGGTGAATGAGGTAGCAGTGGCCCACTTTTATATATATATCTATGCATATGTCCATGGGCAGCGGTTGTCACTTATGATCAGGTGAACCACCAGCTTGCTTGCCACCTTCTCAAATAAAAAAAAATTGCATAAAATGATATTTGTGTTTCAGGAAGCAGCTGAATTGGGCTGTAGTAGACTAGATTTTCATGTCCTAGCATGGAATGAAGCGCGCACTTTCTATGAGGAAATTGGTGCACGGAACTTAACAGAGAGCGAACAGTGGTGTTATTACCGATTATCAGGGGATGCTCTTGCATCAAACTCCATCATTCAAAAAAAAACTCAAAGTGCTTAGATATGTATTTCATTTCATATGACTACACAACTTTTGTACACATTTCATTAATGTTACATAACTACTGAAGAACCAACAAAGATTAACAAACATGAGTTATTTTGAACACCATGTTAAACATTTAAAAAATGCTTGAAGAAATAGGCTGTTAAGGAAATTCAAAAAAAAAATTATACAATGTAAAACAAATGTTAAGTTTAGTGCAGCTTGTCAAAGGATGGCACTGTTGGTTACACCAAGGCTAATGTAACATTATTTTACTGCTCTTAATTGTTCTCAAAATGAATGTTGTTGAATGCAAATTTAATTGTATAAATTTTTATAATATTAGATAGAAGAATACAATGCTGTGATATTCCTGTGCAAAAGTTCTACCAAATAAATTTGTTATTGACACCCAAATATAATTTCTTTTTGCGTAACTACTACTATTTACAACTAATTATAAATGCCATTTATTTACTTAAGCTCCAACTTTGCTGATGAATGGAGTATTAATAAAACGAATATAAAGATGTTACAGACCTCATGGTAGCCGTGTACCATTTACACTTTCAAAACTTAAAATAAGTAATATTATAAAAATGTTACGAACAATTTACATATTTGAATACTGTTCATACTTAATATCTAATAGGGATGCAGAAAGTCAAGGTATTTAATTTGCTGTTATGTTCTGATTTGATACAGTGAAAACACTTCCAAGATTTTCTTAAGTGTTTACCCCACATTCAAATTGTACTTTCTGATGAAACATGAAGTTAATTATCTCAAAAATAAACTGTAAGATCATAATTCTATGTAACTAGTATTCATCTCCACAATAATTGCCTGTTTTTAACTTAATACTTTTTGTATTAAAACATTGGCAAGGAATACTTAGACTAGTGTTGCTATAGATGAGACTCAGGAACTTATTGTTAACATTGAGGCTAATACTAACTTGCAGTAGTGTGACAAGTGTTACTGAATTTACTATACCAGTATTAGTTTGAAGCTAAAACAATACAGCTTAATATTTATACCATGTACAGTACACAAATGACAACCTACTCAGTCGAAAAATACATTTAAATATTTACATTATACTACTAAATTGATGTTTGCTTTAACAATACACAATTACAATTTATCGGATACCTTCAACAAGACTCCACTGACCAGCCTTAATCATTTTGCTTTTTAATGACAACAGTGAGATCATATAAGTGTTTAAGATGTCTTTAAATTTAGACCGCACATGGAGTAATTCCCAAGCACACAGTAAGACCTCCTTGATATGGTTTCAAATATTGTAAAGACGCTGTAAGCTGCGGTTGACTGTTTTGTAACTTTAAATGAAATTATATAGGTGTATAGTTTGTTTTTCAATTTTTTTAATTATGTCTGTACATTTATACATAGTTTTGTGAAATGCATAGTTTCAGTGCAAGGATCAAGAGCCCACACAAGCTCTCACTTAGATCTCTAAAGCTAGTAACCATGCACGCATTCCTCTTGAAGAAACCGGCATAGCCGTGGAAGTGCATTTTGATCTTCGATCGTCCAGAAATTTTCGCTTTTGTATTTCATACATTTAGAGGCGCCGCTACGTGGATGCCATAAGCTTGGCGTGTGCTGTCACGTTTCTCTGGTGCAGGAATCCGCTTCCCTCCTCTTCTTCGCTATTGCCGAGTCCGTACTGAAAAAAATGCCTATATTGTAGAAGTAATACGCAAAACAATGTCTACGTAGTAGTATTGCTTACAAACTTAACGTATGTAGAGCTCCTACTAAGCATATGCTTGTTCGACAAGGGTATACAAAAGATCTGATAGGTATGGAAAATGAAAAATATCTTCGAGGCAACTAAGAGGATGATATTGAGGTTTGAGGTAGGTAATTAAGAACAGCCATTTTTCTGTATTCTATCGTGAAACTAATATCACTGATAGATGTCGCTGTACTGATTACATTACGGTATCGAGTTTTCGCTTTTTATACAATAATAATTGTAAGAGGTAGTTATATTGCGTATGTATGTTGAATTCCCTAATTATTTTTTTATGATTTATTATATAGAATAATAATATGAATTATTTGTATGTATTATAATGCACAACACTGATATTCTACCCCAGCCTGACATTAAATATCGGAACACTTCAAAATTTTAATAATGGAAAAACAAAAACAGAATAATAATGGGAAAAAAATAACAATACCTAAAAACTTCATTATGAAATTAAAACATATCATTATAATGATAAATGTAATCTGCAATGTCTTATCATGTGATACCAGAGAGCTGTTTTTACATCAGAATCCATTTTTTATATTTTGTTTTAAAATGATGTACTGACCGTACTATAAATAAAGTAAAAATTTAAGTAATACAGTCCTACTGCTGGGCAACGAACTTTGTACATAGGGTAAGATATTAGGGCATGGTATACCACGCCACCCAACTGCACATTGGTGGACTTTACATCTTCGAAATATAATTTAGTTTTTGTTATTTCTGTCTGCACGAATAATTTACTATTTCATTGGTGCCGGCACCGAAATTTGAACTTAAGTTACCAGAGTACGTTGAATTAAGATCGAGTGGCGCCCGGACACTAAGCTATCACGGCTCATATTATTTAGTTCATAAACTATTGTTCTAGAAGGTTAACGAATCTGTTCTATGTCAATTCTCGCGCCTCCAAATTCGAGTTTCGTAAACTCAGCTCAACGGGTGATTTATGAAAAATACCACGTTACACAATTCTACCCAAAACGGGGGCGAGGATCGACCAATGTATTCATGGTGGCCGATATGCGGTCTGAGGTACCTGCAGGGCGTGCAGGTAGTGCTGCTGCGAGTGGTAGGGGGCGGCGGCGTGCGCGTAGCCCTCGTAGGGGGGCGCGGCGCTCGGCTCGCTCTTGATGTTGAACAGCGACGGGTTGGAGAGGAAGGCGGGCGCCGGCACGCCCAGCGGGTACTGCTGCGCCTGCCCGTGCGCGTGTGCGTGCGAGTGTGCGTGCGCGTGTGCGTGCGCGTGCGAGTGCGCGTGCGCGTGTGCGTGCGGGCCGGGGGTGCCGCCCGCTTCGCTGCGCGCCCTCCCCGCGCTGCTGCTCGCGGCGCTCAGGGGCAGCGCCACCTCAGCGACGCTCGGCTTGCTCTCTGAAAAGTTATACAGGTATATTAGTCACATACTAAGGCCGAGATAAGCGGTTTGTGCTATTGACGCTTATTTCCATCACCATCTTATGCGTTTTTATTTAATAAACATTTAAGTTAATAAACCATATTCTAATATCGCATCGTATTTACTAATTCGGGGTCAATAGTTCAAAAGAGTGTTCCTCAGGGATCGATCCTGGTTCCATTTCTGTTTTTGGTTTATATTAATGCTGTCTATGACTGGATTCGACTTCGACTATGGTAGCTTTTAAGCAAATAAACTTTTAAACGCTCCCGTCGCTATACATACTCGAGAACATCATGTATGAACGTAATAATATCCACCTTTTTCCAAAAATATGACATCGCGTTGAGGCCGTGGAAATACACTGTAATTACAGAGGGTGACACTGGCTAAAACCAGAAATTTGTTTCTCCCTAGAAGTTAGTACCTTTTAAAGTAGGTAACTCCCACAAAATGTTGTTTTCTGTTCAGGTCTAGTTTAGTGAACCTGTGGTAATTTTTTGACGCTCAATAAGAGCTTAACTAAGCCTATATTGAATAAAGAAATGTTGAATCTGACTTTGAATTATGTAAACGTCATAGTTATCCTTATATACCTACCTCAGTCTAAGCCGACTCCCAAAAACCGTTAAAATTTCGTATATATTGGCAACTTCATTTACATTTTAGTTCAATATAAGGTATAAAAAAAGGAATAAAAACTACGAGTAATAAAAAACTTACCGTCAATTCCCGGTGAGCTGTGTTCATCTTTCTTGGCCGTCTCTTGCGGTGGTTTAGCGCCGTTGGCAGACTTCTTCGGCTTCCGCTTCCTAGTCTGTATGCCGTCTTCCTCATTGCCAACGGTCTGTAATGGGAAAATATACAGTCAGATGGATTCTTAACCGCGACTTTAAATCTATTTCGTGCCATATGTCTTCGATAGACAGGCATCTCTTTTACAAACACTTACACGCATAAATGTTGTTGGCTTCTAGCCAATCACTAACTCTTGTCTTTGTACCTTTACGAAGTATTTCATATATTCCATCTACCGTAATTTATGCAACTCAATTACACAGAGCTTTTTGAGAAAGTGATAGAGCCGTTTCCATCTACATTGGATGAAGTTGTTTTAAAGGCCTTGCAAAAATGATTTGACTTGTGGGTCACAACTCGCCTGTTGATCCCGTGCAGCTTGTAGTACAGTCCGCAGGCGTTGCAGACCGGTTCCCCGTCGTTGTTGCGCCTCCACAGCGTGGTGTTGCGCGAGCCGCAGTTGGTGCAGCACTGGCCGTGGCGCCGCGCCGCCGACTGTACACCAACACACGTTACGTACTGCGCACACGTTACACGAATAAAAAACACGTTTTACGGAGATAGGGCCAGGAAACAGCCTCGGCTGTGGCGCAAATGGGCAGGCTAGTCTGGGTAAGCACCACGACCTCACACAAGACCGGCGTAAAGTGGAAGTATAACAAATACTTTCGCGTTTCGTCTGGTGAGTGAGGTGGCCGGAGCCCGATTTTCAAAAAGGTGGTCAACGCATCTGCGACCCTCGGGTGTAACAGATGTCCATGGGCGGCGGTATTCACTTAACATCAGGTGAACCGTCTGCTCGTTTGGCAACTTTTCACATAAAAAAGGGACCTTACAGAAGACCGGCAACAAGTAAATGTATAATACATTCTCGTTTCGTCTGGTGAGTGAGGTAGCCGGAGCCCAAATTTCAAAAGGTTGTCAACGCATCTGCAATCCTCGGGTGTGGCAGAGGTCCATTTACTTAACATCACGGGTACCGCCTACTCGCTTGGCAATTTTTCACATAACAAAAACAGCTTTATAAAGCGAGTGTTATATCGCTTATTCAGTTTTTAAGTTTCAGTCTTATAAGTTTCTCTTATTAATTCAGTGTACACCGTTACCCAATGCTACTGTTTTTACTATTTCCTTTTACTAGGTTGCCTGGAAGAAATCGCTTCCTAGCGATAAGGCCGCCTATTGTACAGTTTTGTATTATTTTAGTTGATTCTTCAATATCCGTTGGTTGTGTACAATAAAGTATATTTCATTCATTCATTTCATTCATTTCATTCATTCATTCAGTTTTGGGGAGTCCATTATGTAGTACTGAAATGAATATAAACCACACCAAAGCCACCGAAGAAAAATAGATACATTATTAGACTATCCATCATTGATAAAGGAACCAACTAACTAAAACTACTTATATACAAATAATAACTTAATTATCTGCTTGTGTAGGTCTTGCGAATGTTTCAAAAATGATGATGGTTTTTAAAGTATATTTAAGGCAATGGATAAATATATGAGTAGACAATTAGTTAATGATCGAAGTTTTTTGTAAATCTGATAAAAATAATACAGTTTATTTTTATGTTGCAAGATTAGACGGATATGTCATATTAGCGATATTTTAAGGAATCCATACTAATATTATAAATGCGAAAGTAGCTCTTTTTGTCTGTCTCGCTTTCACGCCTAAACTACTGAACCGATTTAAATTAAATTTGGTACACAGAGAGTCTACGGAGCCTGAGAAAGGACATAGGCTATATATATTTTTAATAGGAAAAAGGGTTATAAAGGGTCCTTAAAGGGGAAAGATATTTATTTAAGGGCTTCAACGCGAGCGAAGCCGCGGGCGAAAAGCTGGTGTGATATAAATGTAATGGTTTCTATTATGTTCTTAAAAAAGTAGTCAATTGATGTGTGTTGCAAGATTAGGAAAGACATAGTACGAGTAATAATCCATTTCAGTGACAGCATAAGCGACTTGAAGCAAGTAGTAAATTATTTATATTTTCAACAGTTGTCTATTGCAATATGTTTAGTTCATGAAAATATTTCTGTCCGTTTTATGTATGGGTAATTAATACAGATCGTAACATGACTTTTTTGTCCTGTGTTGTTTCTTTTAAAAACAATGGTTAGGATCTGAGCCAATTAGTAATGAACATAAATTTGTTATTACGTTTGATTCGCGTCTGATTAAATTCGTTTTGTGTTTCGCTTTGATATAAAGATTATTCTCATGCATCAGATAAGGACGCACGGATTAGTTTTTTTTTGTATGTTCACGAATGTTCTTACCGCAGGGGTCTAGAAAACGAGCGGGACCGGTTTCTTCGGTGCGCGGGGCGAGACTCTTCCTAATGTGTATATTATTTATGGGCACATATTTTGTTATACGGTGTGTTATAAATTGAAGTAGGTACTTCGATCAAAATGTGCGCTTTAAAATAGTTGAACAGGGCTCTATATCGTATCAAATCTTAAAATTAGTAAAAAATAGTAGTCATTATTATTAAATTTGGCACGGTAACTTTTTTTTCAAAATAACAACAAATTTAAGCACCATCACCTTTTGATACATTTGCATACTTTAGTGCATCAACTACGGACAACTACGACAGCGACGTGAAGGACTGCTACGGAAACAGGCATGCAGATTCCGCCACCACATTATCTAACGGGTACAGAGCGGTTTTATGGAGGAGAGACAAGAAGGCGCCGCCTCCTTGGCGGTGCGGCGGGCGGGGCCGCGGCCCATTGGCCCCTCTCGCCGCCACACGCGACAGGACGCAGCCTCCGTCTGGAGCGAACCCCACCCGACTGTCGTTGACCAGGAGCGACGGCGACGTCGAGTGTCCCGACGGAAGCGGATCAAGCGGATTGCCAGAGTAACATCGGCGGCGGAAAGAATAGCACAGTGTGCCGCGTACAATCGGGACACCCAACGCCGCTGTCTAAGTGGGGAGCGGTAGCGTGTAGTTCCCTAACGGGCGGAAACCGAGATGTTAGAGTCGCGTGCGGGGCGCGGGCGTTGTCAAGCGGGGGTGACGGGGCGGGGGGGGGGGGGACGGAGTGGGGGGGTCAGATGCATGCACTAGTCTACACGCCACCGACTCACCTTCTTCATGCCCCTGGCCATGCCTTCCACACTCATCCATCTCTGCACGGAGCCGTCCTTATAGAAGCGGGTGAGCAGCTCGGCGTCGGCACCTGTTCGCAGAGAGAGCGTTACAATGGCGCAGGGCGGGGGCACTCACCAGCCGCTTGCTGGGCTTCACCAGCGGCCGGTTGACGCCGTTGATCTTGTGGTAGAGGCCGCACGCGTTGCACAAGTAGTGGCCGGTTGCGTCGCGCCGCCACAGCGGCGTGTTGTTGGCGCCGCAGTTCACGCACTCGCGGCCCTCCTCGTACGCCTCCAGGACTCCATCTGTGTGGCCACTTGCGTCACGTCGCTGCAGAGGCTTACCCTCACGCGCCGACACCTTTATATCGCCCACTGGGTGAGCCTCTACACTTGTACAATTCGTGTCATAGAGACTGTCCTCACTAGGCAGATGTATTTGTTATATTCCATAGTATGTGGCCATTGCAACACAACATACCTAACCAAATAAAATAAAATAACAAACAGAATAAAACACTACACTGGAAACTTTATGCTGTATATGAAAACATTTCCTAAGCATTTCTTTTTATTGAAGTTGAAGTTGTTTTTTTCAAGCATCGATTTTGTATGTGATGATATGATATTTTAGGATATGATTCTGTTTTATTGCTTATCACTGTTTGGAATGTCATTTATCGGAACGTGGATTGCGCGGGACGTGCATAATTGTGTTGGGAGCGTCTTGCGGTTTAGCCTAAACAAAGTTAACGATCACTTATCACTTCTTGGAAGCGCTGTAACAATAACAAGCACTGTGGTACGAGTCCTAGCGACGTATATCGACGGCTTATCGCCTATCCGGCCGATAGCGGCCCGCCATCGCCGCTCGCTAACCCAAATCCATTAATTTGTGTTTATCCCTAGGTAATTGTTAATTCATCGAGTAATGTCACACAGCTGACATATTCATTGCCAATTACCGGTGACATATTAGCTAGCCTAATATTCGTTGTTAAATATTTATATATGTAATGACATAGCCGTCACTACCGACGTAAGGCCTGCATGAGATATTTTTTTTACGCTTTTTTATGACGTCATATCGAGAAATTCAACTAAATAATAATAAAAATAAGTTTTCATAGAATATACATCATTCATGCTATTTGGGGGGAACTAAAGGATACAATAACAAGAGTGAGAACTTGTGTTGATCTGTGCTAATTGTATGTGGGTTAATCTACATGTGGCAATAGTTTTCAACAAGGAAATAAAGATTGATGAACATTCGAAAGGCGCGAGGAATTAAACAAATGGGAACGGTATGCGAAAAGGAGAGGGTAAAACGTAGCAAGGAAATTAGATGTAGAAATACATTTTAAGTAAAGTAACAGCGTTTAATTTTCCACTGCTGAGCAAAGGTTTCCTCTGTACAAAGGGTAAAATGGTATAGTCTACCACGCGAACCCATATTGGATTGGCAGACTTCACATGTCTACGAAAAATTTTTTTTTGTTATTATTACGATAATATGGAAGTTTCTTTTAATTTATTTAAAATAGGTACCCTGCAACTCAATCGTTCCCAGTCATTGAACGTGCGAAATGCACTTATCCTTTATTCATGCATATTATATAATTATGACTCGTTTGTTTATCACGCATGGATTGTTTAGAGTTTTATGCATGTAGAATAAAATCCCACAGTCGATATTAAGTCTGCCGCTTAAACAATTTAAATGTAAAATTAAAATTCAACTTATGATTAAAGCATATTATACCATTTCGGAATATCTCGACGACGCCAATGTGTGGAGTTAATACTGTTGATACTCACGTAGGCTAGAATAAGACTATTATATCTGTATATTATATTGTACCCTGATATTTTTGAAAAAGAGCAACTGTTGAGTTTCTTGCCGGTCTCTTCTCAACAGAAACCGCTTTCCGAACCGGTGGTACCTTACGAACCTATACACATAATCTTTGATGTAAAATTTGACGACTCATAAGAGCGCGCAAGCGTCTATTGATTTTGATTTTGATTTATGTTGTCGCGAAATATTTTCTTAATTTTTTTGTAATTATTTAAGAGTATGTAATTAGCCGGAAAATTAAAATGTCATGTGTATTCATTCCATTATGTACAACTTGTAGTTGCCTGAAACAAACTAATACATACTAACAAATAGTTAACGATACAGATATATACATTTTAGACAAAAAGGAATCTAGAAACAACAAAAAAATATGAAAGTTATCTCAATCTTATAAATATGTCGTATTTATTTATATTACACAAGAATGTTTCACGTTTTTTTTTGCGGTTATGTTAAGTTACTGGAATTCTCGTTTGGTCTTATTAATTATTTAGTCGCATTTGATTTTTATGCTAATGAATGCTTTGCATCCCTCCTACATATGTAGAAGTGGAAGGAAAATGAGTAAACACTACTTATTTTAACTCAACATAAAATGAAATGGTAACGAAAAATATATCTCACATAAATATTAAGTAGTGACTTTATTCAGGAAAAAATATTGAAATGTAAAACACATATCTCGTGTGATTTCGGGCCGAGATGATGAGTAACTATGCCAGTGCTGTGATTCCCATAGGAGTGACTAATTTATTTGTCCGTAGTCGATATAACGTTATGACGTATGTAGTCATGTGTTACCATCAAAATAAGTAACTCTATCTTTTGTTATATAGCATAACACATGCATGGACTCAAAATTAGTTATTGAAAAAAATTGGCTTGCAAATGAAATGTTCCGTTTCTTTCATAGTGAATATAACCTAGATATATCGATCTGTACTACGCTGGAGTATCGGGTGAATTCTAGAAAAGGTACTTGTAATAATTATTTACTTTTATAGACCTTTTCTTCTTTCAATCATATTTATTTAGAATCATGTTCAACTATGCAGAACCGTTTGGTCTGACGTTAAAAAACCTTTCCATGATTATGCATATATTCGGTTATAACGAACAAAAATTAGACTTAAATATCATTGTAGCTAATGGAAATGCTAAATAATAAGGATTATTTATGATCTTTACTATGTTCTATTCTTATTCAGTTTAATTTCCTTGTAAGGTTTTAATTTGAAACGTCTTCCTCAATAAAAGGCGCGTTACACGTATTAATGCCCAATTATAATATAGAATTATATTTTTATACAAATTGTCTTTAAAAATAAATATTTAACTGTGCTGGTGTGAGTGTTATTCTTTGATTTCGAGTAGAGGCTTATTAGTATTGTATATTGAATTATTCCTAAAAAATTAGGAAAGGTCACGACTTTATGGACTAAATTAAACGTTATTTTCGCTAAGAATACGGCAATGTTGAATCAAACCATAAGTTTTATTTCCAAACAAAAAGCTATAATCATCAGTCTCTTTTATCAGTTTGTTAAATAAAACTACGTCACGGTGCCTTGATTATGGACTCGTTAAAGTGTTCCAAACTTATGGAATCAAAATAATAATTAACCGCGATAAAGACCGTAAAATAGCTTAATTTAACAATAATTAAGTAGTAAACACATGAATGCATATACATAATGGAATGTTTTAACCAAATTTTCACCAAATTTCAGCCATACCTAAATTCCGAAATTTGCACGTTTTTTAATATCTAGACAAGTAGCGATAATAACTTCATGATCACGGTCCGACACGCTCATTAAGATCTTGACATCAAGAATACAACTTTTGGATTTTCATATGTTTATATGTTTTGTTGTATTCGTCACACTGATAACGATCATTGCCCCTCGTGAGAATGAGGTGGTAGTTTTTTTGTGAGTGTTTTTTGACGTTTAATAAGAGCTTAAGTTCCGCCTAATTTAAATAAAGATATTTCGACTTTGAACATACAACATTCAAGACCGTTTCTTCATGAACATAAAAATAAATAGAAGTGCTTTAATGTCCAAACAGGGGCTTCAGGCTTACCGTATGCAGGTGGACGTTGCAGAGCGTCGTATGGAGCGCACCACGAACCCATCACGACGTTCTGGCCGTAGAGGGCGCCACCGACGCCGCCCACGGCGCCCACGCCGCCCACGCTGCCCACGCTACCGCTGCCTGCTAGAGAAGCACCTTCGTAAGACGACAAGTATTACGACAGCATCAATCCTTTACATTAACTCTTAAATGCGTCAGAACGATGATCGTGTGGCGATATCGATTGCTTGTAAAAATGTATGAAAAATTGAGAAATTATATAACATAATTTTGCAAAAACGTAGAATTTGAAAGCAGTTAGCTTGTAAAAAACGCGTGGAGTGTAAAAGTATTGTTTAAACGTTTTCCTTATTGTTTCGGAGATGTTTGTGTGTTTTTCACTACCAAAGTAAAAGTCTTTCATCGATATTCGTAGCTGCATTTTTTAATTATTACTTTTTCACATGACAATTTTTTTTTAATTATTACAAATCATAAATTTATTTCAGATCATACACTCAAATTACAATAAATTTTAAATTACACGAATTAAAAAAAATACAGAAATTACAGAAATTAAAAACAATTGGGTAATAACTCCAACAACTTGTTACTACTAGTACTTCTAAGTTATTAGTTTACTACTATTGTCTATCATCTAAGCCCCAGTGCAAGTATTAAGCTGGCAAAATTTATCGCAATCGGATGGCCGGTATGGCGGCACATACACTACAAACAAAAACAAGCATGGATGTTTTATATTACATAAATATGAACTGAAATAAATTTCAAGTGTGGACATTTTTCCAGTTTCTTGAAATTGGGCCATACTAATTCCATGCCAGTGTTCAAAATATTTCGGGGTCTTAATTTTCCAAGGAGTTTCAAAGAAGATATACTTTTTCTGACGATGGCTTAGAGTGAAAATTAATACTAGTTTATGTATCGCAATTTAGGGGCAGACTAGACATGGGCACTTAAACAACTAGATCACCATTATGTTTGATTCTGCATTTAGCCAAGGTTATATAAAAGATAATAATAATTAAAAAAAATTGTTCGTGGGCCGTTTTAATTCCTCATTACTAATATCTGTAAAAATATTTCTAAATACTGAATTGTGCATAGTTTTAATTATCAATACCGTATTCTCAAAGGTTTTTAATCTTTGAGCAGATACTACATAATGACGCGGTTACAATTATAACAATGCAACAACTAAAATTATCAAAATTAAAAAGTCATATCTAAAGTATATTGTGCCCGTTTTTGGTTCACGCTTTAAAAGAATCTAATTGCATGTAAAACGTATATTTTTTTGTTCTCATCCAATTATTGTAATCATCCGCCTAAACACAATTAATAAGCTGTCAGCCAGCGATAAACGAAACTGATAAGGGGATGGAGTTTCGAAATTATTTCGCAAGTGTTTAAACGCACTTGTGGCTTGAAACGCCCGTGTCTGTTATCGCCCCGAATGTAATGTAATATTACATTATTTCATTTAAACTCACTCGAGACACGTCCCAAAACAGTTTTGTAAGCATTCGTAAGGGACACATTGTGACAAGTGTAGCGTAGCTGCAATGGCCATATTATCAGCTCGACAACAAAACAGTTGGTCGTGTAAGATTTACAAAATCTGGTAGCGGACCCTAATGACCGATCGACGGAACCTAATGATCGACGTGCATTATTCCAACAATAGCCGAAAACGCCGAGGTCCGTATCTCGCGGTCGACGGTAAACAATGTCTAAGCACAGATAGCGCTCTGAATCACTCCCGGCCGCGGCGAACACGAAAACAATAAGCCCGCTGCCGAAAATCGCTGGGCCGTTGAGGTCCCTGACAAACCTGCTAGCATCGCGATGTTCTGCAGCCACGCTGCCGGCAGTGGTATGGCGTCCATCGCCTCCATGGCGTCCGCGTCCGCCCTTAGGGGAGAGGTCAGTCCGAGGAGAGGTCACGACAGGAGCAGTCGGTCAGAGGTCGCGGCGTGCACTGAGCGAAGAGCGCGCCGCCCGCCACGCCTCTTATCGCCTCTGATTCAGCGGGCCTCTGTTGTTGCGATATGGCTCAAGTCATGCGCTTACCGCCGTACGAGGGCTAGTCTCGATTCCGATTGCTTACTCCTTTGTAGCTCCATATTTGATTCATTTATTGACGACGAATAAAATAGAATTTGTAACGTTTAGGACAAGAGAGAGGCCTTTCCTCTCTCCCCAGTTATAGTTGAGACGTTTTTTTGACGATTGTGTAAGTTGTAGTGATATGTTGTAAGAATTTCTTGTTCTTTGTCCGGGATACAGTAATTTGTATTGCCATCAGTGCAGATCGAGTAAATTGCGCACTGGTCCTTCAAAATAGCCAGTAAATTTATGGCCAAATAAAGTATCGCCACCACTTGTGCCGCGTCTGACAATCCGATTCCACATAACAGATGGATCCAAAACAATACGTTTATCCCTCTGAAGGAAAATATTTTTCTGGGAATTACGATACTGAATCACGTGTTGTTTAACTGCGGTTTGGTGGAGTCGAGGCGGTTATGGGTTTGTGTTATGAGGGTTCCTAGATTACATGTACTATCTTATCATTGAACAATTTCGCAGGGGTCTAAATTAAAAAAGATCATCAAGGAAACTTGATTGGGCTCTTTCTCTAGATCAAGATCTATTTTTTAGATGCCGCTTAAACTCTTATTTAGCCTTTATAAAATTTTTCTTATGACGTGCCTATAGATAATAAAATTCCCGCTACACCCCCTCACTATTTTTAGTGGGGTCTCATATTGTTCGACCTGGTGGTTGAACTAATGTTTTCTCCGTTATAATCTCTTACTATCCCTACTTTTATTAGCCATTCAAAGTCTTGAGTTTTGTTGTGTGAACATGAGTGAAAAAGTCGAAGAGCTTGGAGAGGCAACATGTTTATGAAATTTGTTTTTTGATTGTGTCAAGTTCACGGAGCAGTAGGTGCATTTATTTTCCTAGCACTCTCTAATTTCCAAAGTGGTGGTGGTATGGTTGTGTTAGCATCTCTTCTAAAAACAATTCACAGAAATTGATGTTGGTAGCTCTTGGTTTGCTTATCTTCTCTTGTTGTGTACCAATTCGTCGCTGATCGTGGCAAATTTTCAATTTTTTTGCGACATAATTAAACATGTTTGTGCAAAATCAAATCAAAGAAACAGGATAATCGATTGGGGCTATATTTAATAATAAATCGCCAGTAATTCCCCAAAGTAGCAGTTCGGTTTAATTTGCGGTTGGTTCCAGGCAGTTATCTGCTTTGATACTGCCATTTGACGTCAGTAACTGTTTAACCTAATGGTAAATGACACATTTAAGAGTGTATCAAATATTGGATGAGATTATTTTTTTACAAATTAAACAGTTTGCTATATTTATCCAATATTAAATATTTTTATTGAACATTTAACAGAAATGGAAACTTAGAACGATTTGGCTGGAGGGGCGGAATGGTTTCCGGGCGTATGTGTTTGTGCGCATGCCGATTTCTTTGGCGCACTCCACTAAATCATTTGATGGATTTCAGACATATTATTATCGAATTAAACTTATATTTGCGCACCTATATATGTATTTTGGTATTTGTGTACTTAGGTGATGTGAATTTTTGATTCGAGTTTATATTTAGAATACAAACAGCTCATGATAAAGCAAAATGCCAATTGTTATAAATTATGAAGTTAGTGCGAATTTTCTAAATTTCAAAACTGAAATTATTGTTTTTTTCCAAATTTTGTAGTATAAATCTAAACGGTGAATCTTAATCGATACTCAATGATGTTGATGCGATATGATGTTGCTCAGTCGAAGTGAAGATTTCGACGCGAACATGCAACCACCCACCATAGGAGTCGTGGTGCGCCGCGTGGTGGTGGTGCCACACGTTCTGGTGGGGCGCGAAGTGCGCGTACTGCTGTAGCCGCCCGCCGCCCACGTAGCCCAAGCCGTAGCCCTCGCCGCCCTCGCCGTAGCCGCCACCGCCCGCGCCGCTGCCGCCGAACATCCTCGGGCTTCAATGCTGCATCGCCAGCACCGTAGGGGGCCTACTGGAAACAGCGAACAAAGTTAATACAGTGCTACGAAGATCCCACAGGAATAAAGTCGTTACACATCTGAATGTATTTCATACGTCTTACATACGTGTTAAACTGAAGGTCTGAACGATATTTATTGTTAAAAGAATTTAGAGAAAGATATATAAGAAAGACCAGATTTCTTAGATTTTTCGTCGCGAATATCGAGCAAGTTTCGTGTATAAAAAGGATTAAACAAAGTTATGTTAAGTTGAAACTACATTTCACTCATTTTGGTTAGGCCGACATCAAATGTTTTCCGGAAATACAAAAGTATGTGAAGAAAATGCACGCGCATTAATCTCGCATAACAGTAATAAAACCGCCAGCTACAAAGGTGATAGTGGCTGTTGAAGGCATTGAGTGCATAGAAGCTTTACAACAATTGTTTATTTTGAAACTCGTTTTTTCAGTATCCCGGCTTTAAACGGATATTTCAACTATATAATAAATAATCTTGGTAGTCGATGCGTAAGAAAGTGAAAATATATTTTTTTTTCAATTATTTATAAACAATATAATAAAGTACGTGACTTCCAAACGCTCCGAGATTGGTCATCCTGTTTGTGAAGTCGTAATGTTAAAATGATTCCACGATGGTACACGGTCGATGGTTTCTACATACGTATTGATAACAACTCACAGGCTGCTTCGTTGACCACGTGTTACTGCCCCTGTTCTGATGAGGCCTGTGACCAGCAGTGGGCTACGAGTGCAGGCTGTTGAGCTAAGCCAAGCCTGACTTTCTCAGCACTGTTAAGTGGTTTTTTTTAGAATTCAAGGTTTTTTTAGATAATTGTTTCGTTTAAATGTTCTTCAAATGCGGTACGCAAACGTGTTTCCGATAATCGGGTGTTTTTTAAATGATAATATTCATTAAACACAAGAAACATGTACCAACTATTTATGTCACTTATCAATTGGCTGTTGGATAAATTTTGTGGTATTCGTTTTCTACAGGAAATGCATGCACTTATATACAAGCATTTTTATTAACATTATTATATTATATATTAGATTAAATGTACTTTACTGTCTACATAAATAGGTTTACGAAAGCCGGTAACTATTCAGTAATAAATCATCCTTCAATATATTTAATATTTAAATTTAATACTGTATTATTTTACTCTACGCACAAAATAAAAAAGTAGACTAAATACATTCGTGTATTAATTAAATACGTGCTATACGTATTTAATTAATACACGTACACTATACGTGTACACTTCGAATTAATTGAAGAAAGTTGAAATGTTATTGGCAGTTTTGGTTTACCGAGCCGAGACTTTCGCGACCCAATCAATTGCCAAAGCGTACGATTATTTTTGGTTTATTAATTCCTAATCTTTGTGTGGTTTATATCAACGGAAACTACTGCTCGGTCCGAATAAGTCTTGCTGGCGCAGTTAAAAATATCTAAATGACGTAGGCCCATGGCCATTCGCAGATAAGGTTGCAGTTGGTACTTAACGATGGGTGGCGTAAAAAGAAATACAAAATCGATTTGCAAATGCCAAATCATGTGCGAATGACACATGATTTGTCTCAGAATTTTTATTTATTTATTATTTAGCTACCAAAAATACTTCAACAAGATGAACACTCAACACCAATATTTTATATAAGAATTCTGATATATACGGTCTCATTACGTGTGGTAGTTTGTTTAATTGATGTACTTGCTTTACGGTGAAGAAAACCAGCCTAAAATATTTTGGTCAAATGAAACGTAGAAATATTTTTAGTAGGCATGTCCTAAAGACACTTTCGGAGAGAAGTATGTGGTTTATCCAGATGAAGGATGCATCCAGTCGAGTATTGCCACCGATATAAACACAGGGGAACCAAAATGATGATGACGCCAACAAAGTTCTAATTAAAAACAAACCTTCATTACGTCTTTACCTGTATGGGGTAAACAATGTAAGATAGTATTATTTAAATTCTATCAGATTTTACATCAGCATTGTTTTGTAGTGTCTGGGTGGTTGAACAAATATGTATTTGTTAATACTGTGATATTGTGTAATTAACTTGTTGTGTTGTTATTTGTGATTATTATAATATCAAATTTAATGTTTTATATACCTACTTACTTTATCCATTTTTTTAATTCCTGTTTTGCTTGTGCAAAAATTTGTGTTATTGTTTAGTGAAAAAAAATTTGGCCACATTTAATTATATTCCTGTACATTTTATTACTTTTTGTTTTTAGGAAAAATTAATAATTTATTAAATTAGTTTTTGCCCTATTATAGTAGTGCCGAGCAAAAAACAATGATTTATAAAAAATGAAATTCCAACAAAACGATATTGACCGTTGAGCGCGATGAGACTCGAATGCGCGACCTCCGTTCGCTGTCCGCCATTTTTAGATGTCGGACAGTCCCGTCCCGTTCTTCAGTAATCTAAATAAAAGCGGCAGATTAAAGTGTTGCAGAGAGAGCATAAGCGCTCATATCTGTGCCAGATAAGGCGTACAATAAACAGATCCCTGTGCGTCCGCGTGATGGAGCGGTGCCAAGGCGGTTCGCTGATGCCTTACGCCGATAGGGCACGTCCGTGCTTGGACGCCGGAGAGACCTGTCAGCGATCGGCAGCTCTTATTACTTGTGTATTAAGGGCCAGTCTCCTGTGATGCCCGGTTTTCTAACGGCAGATAGTTTAGTCAGTGCATGTAGCGCTAGATTCGGTTACCTCACTGCGGCTGATTATGTTATGTTCGTTGCAAATGTTGCGTTTGTGTCTTCGACTGGTTTTAGACTGAACGATAAGACTATGCCTGTAGACTATTATAGGACGTTTACGTATGAGGATGACAGCCCATAGCTAAATGCTCCACCAAACGTTAGTCTTAATTAATGAGTTTAGCAGACGTCTAATTGGCTACCAAATACATATAATAATCACTATATCTTCTAAAGCTATATAAATAGATCACAATAGAAATAACATGGAATGAGCAGATCATTAATAGTACAATTGAAAGTTGGAAAAAGTAGAAGTAAGAACTTTGATAAATAACAAAATGCAAAATTATAAAAAGAACAATTTTTTCGCTTTTGTTTTATGCCAAACTGTCATTATAAACAATTTCGCGGATTAGCAACTCCTTATCAATGTATCATAATTTTCATATCCCTGAAGAAGGCAAGGAAGAAGAAGTCTGCGTACTGCTAGAACAGTAGGAATATCTTATCTACCGGCAAGAATTTTTGGCAGACCAGGGAATAGCTGGGCACGGTGCATAACTGAACGAGAAGACCACGTGGCTTACTTAATGTCATTATTTAAAAAAAAAAAGTGGCTGTTATATGTATAAAAAGTACCATCATTATCATGATGAAAGTACTTACATAGAAACTTCTTTAATACACCACGTAGTTAAGTTAGTTATTACCATATTTTTAATTAATTCATGGTGTTTACCGTAAGCATTGGTTAAAATATAAATACTGGTAAATCCAACTCGAGGCGGTTGCCAACCAAGTCGCCAGCATACTACCATAAAACCATAAACTTCAATTTAATCCACTCGATTTATAACGGATTCAAAAATAAAACCTACATGTGTTAATAACTTTGTAAACTAAGATTTAATTAAATAATAAAGGGTAATTTACAAACAGACGTGCTTTAAGACCGAGAATTCACGAAACACGGCATATACGCGCTCCGAAGAAGAGACCAACAACCCCACACTATAAATTGCCCATCGGCATCGAACCCCGATTTTTTTTAGTCCATAAATCTAACTTTTTAGCGGTGACGCTAATAGCAACAAATTTAGTTGCCACATGGGCTCGAAAAACAACCCGCAGTTAAAAATAGTCGACTAATAACAGCTGACGAGCTATTTGGTTGTTACACCTCTATTGGGGTAAAAGGCTTGGCAGACCTGGTGTTGTCTTTCTCAGATCGATGACACGATTTTGCTATAGCGTTATAATATATGCTTTTTTGATTTGAACTGACTTATTGTTTCTATTGCTATATTTGATCTTCATGTCGAAATTGTCCACGGCCTGGAATAATTTAGGGCATCAATGCGTTTTAACATAATTGAGCAAAAATGAGAATAATTATAGTCCATTTAAGTAAAATTTATTAGAGTTCCCAAATCGAAACACCTTTTATCAAAATTCTATCAAACTTTCGAGTGTTGTCACAAGTGAAATAGGCAATTAATTCAGACTTGGCTTAGAGGCAACCGATTGCTACTAACAGGGCGCGGTGTAACGTGAATATGTGCACGTGGCACCTCGCAAAGAGGCAGTAAATCATTGCAGCGTGAGGTCGTCACCGGATCGCCAGGAATTTGGCTTCGCATACCTCCTCGTCCGTCGTTCCCGCCATTAGCGCTGATGGATTGCTAGAAACGCGACTCGAAACCGTCGCGGAGTTCCCCCACACATGTCTCAAGGCGGGTGAAAATGTATGGTTGTCAACGGTAAATTAACTGTGGGGCTAACTGCTTCAACAATAATGTGCGATTTCTAGAGCGGAAGGAAGAAGGTCTTTGACAGTAGGTACCGTCACGTTTAACCCGGAGGTACCGTGGTCTTCGAAATGGTGCATCGATATTATAACTCCGTGGACTGATATGAATGGAGTGGCTGTTCAGCCGGTTGACAGTGTTAAAAATTTGACAAAGACGCCGAGGACATAGAACGAAGCAAAATGTAATAATATCGTGTAGATTGTAATATTCTGTGTTGCAAGAAGGGGCAGGCCCATCTGGGGAAGTACAAGAAGCTCACAGAAGACCGTCGTAAAGTGGAAGTGTTATACTTCTGCGTTTCGTCTGGTGAGTGGGGTAGCCGGAGGCCATTTTATTGGAAGATGGCATCACATCTGCAACCTTACGGCTGGGGTAATCACTTAACATCAGGTGAACCGCCAGCCCGCTCGCCACATTCTCAGATAAAAAAATCTTTTTACTCTAGCGGCCTGTGGTAGATGTAACTCTGCTGCGGTTTCGGCGATGCACTGCATTTGGAGTGTCTGAATGTTTCCACATAATCATCTGCAAATTCTTCCTTTCTGCGGCAGCGCCTGCGCGGCGGCAGAAAACTAATTTTGAAGCTAATCGCCCAAAGGTTCGACCGCCCCATACAAAATAGTTTAATAGTAAAATGGACTGAATTATTTCGTAACTAAAATTGTTTTTAATATTATTTCAACAACATATGGATGATCAATCTGAATGTGGTCATGCATAAAATCTCTTATTACTGCTGTTAAAAATAAAATGTCTTTCAATACGAAGGAACAAGTTCACCACGTTTATTATATATAAAACTTATAGTTCCCCACATGATATACCTGTGTTTTAATTGAAAAATCATGTTTTAATTTATATCTCTTGCATCGCGTTGATATTAGGCAAGAGCTTTATTTAATAACATTTATGTTACATTCATCTTTATGCTGTGGTTACCACAGATGCCAATAACAATCAAGTAACAATGAAAGGTGCTATGTGATTCTCAGTCTCTAGAGTGTTAATTCTACATAGAATTTCATTCTTTGTGGCTTGCCCTTCATGACGCCTCGGCTGTTCCAACAACGAACTCCACTAGTTCCCATAACGTGTTTAATTTACAAAGTTGTAGACTCTGCAGCCGCACAAACAGGCACTGGGCATTATCGGCGCCCATCAAGCGCTCAGAAGTGCCTCGTCCTGCCACTAAATAACCAATTTTACAGCCCTATTCAATCCTTGCATTATAACGAATAGAGGAGATACTCCACCAAATGGCTCGGGGAATTAAGTTTATTGAAGTCATAAGGTAAAAAGCAGTAATGTCTTTTTATCTTTTGTTAATAACATCTTCATAAAGGACTTTTGTTCAGTTAAATACTCAAAGAATTTAGGAAAATTGACTGAGAATTGAATATTTTATTTTATTAACGTCAAGAGTTACTAGATGGCGTTGCGCGCTGTAGATTGCAACGGTTCGTTTAAAATGTATAATACGTAAATGTAATTTCTAAGTGTATTTTATTACATTTATGCCATTGATTAAATGATAAATAAAAAGTTATGTAACAATTTATGAGCAAATACTAATTGGACAAGTTATTATGGCTCGAATTGTTTTTCGGTCTATATCACAGTACAAGAAAATTCCGTATTGTGAATTCAACGTTATTGTGTGAACAAACACGATTATTCCATTAAAGCTAAGTTCCGCCACCATCTGCTGGACTGTCCAGCTCGTAGCTGGCAGAGGCCGCGCTAGACCCACTAGAGCAACAGTAAAGGCAGAATGGCCACCGCGCCGTGGGTAGACAATACCAGTGCAGATCTTTATGTTTTATACGAAGTAAGTGATATATCCTTATCCGAAACATTTAGGGGATAATAAATAATAAAACTTACATACATATAGTATTAGGTACGTTGTCTGAAAATGTGTATGATTATACAGATTTTTTTAAAACCGATAATTTCATATGCGGTAGGGTCAAGTAGCAGCTTCTGCTCTTGCACAAATGGGCAGGCTCATCTGGGAAAGTACCACTGCGTGGTGGAAGTGTATACTTTAGCGTTTCATATTGTGAGTATGGTAACAGGGGACAGTTTTTTAATGGTTGGTTAAGCATCAACTCGTTAGGCGTTTTAGACGTGAATGGTTGGGAGTAATCACTTAACATCAGGTGGACCATCTGCACGCTTGTCAAATCACATAAATATATATTTATATTAATAGCGAATAAAAACGTTATTAATAAATATATATTGTAGCCTATGAGGATGGTTAAGCTCTTTGAATTGATCATTCTGATCATTTTGATCAATTCAGAGAGTTCACGATGATCAGTGTTTCAGAAACCGGGCGTAAGTCGTGTATCATTTGATCCAGATGTCCGTTCCGGAGTTGAGGCGCCGATTTCGCGGCGCTGTGGCGGGTCGAGGGCGCGTCCCCGCCTAGCCGCAATTTACGCGGTGCATTAGCGGTGCGCGATTTACGAGCGCTCCGAAAAATTTATGCACACTGAAGGCATACGGCTTTGGGTCCTGCCTTAAAATGCGCTTTATCTTTGCCACCTCGCGAAGTGGGACCCGCCCGTTGCAGGCCAAGGAGCTATGCCCTTAACACGTGTAAAATTATCAGACGGAGAGCTTGGAACATAGTCAGCTACGCACTCCAATTGCAGTTAGTAGTTTATGGGGCTGCCTCATCTCAATCAAGTAATCAGTTTTCATCATAATGTATTTTTCATTTGTCTCTGAGCTCGGTCAATCTGCGATTTAATGGAAATTAAGAATATTATGGTGACCCTGGTATTCTGACTCTTGCCCGGAGACTAGTCGAACGCATGTGAACATATGTAACCTATGTTATTAGGTACCTAGAGATAATTAATGACTATTAATTTTCGTTCCAATGGAGTTAAACGTAGGAGTATGGAAAATTAGACAGCAGTAATGTATATTTCTGTCCGGGGTATAACTGTAACGAGCGTAATGATATCTAACCAGCAAGAACATGTGTATTCAAAATATTTAAAAGTTTGGAAACTAGACGGCTTTCGAATTATTTCGACTTTCCCTGTCTCAAGCCAAATTACGTATATTATAACAAACAACTCCTCATTGAATAGTTTCACCAGGAAACGGCGTAATGAAGCTTCCAACCCACGATTAAAAATGCTGGTCAGCTTTTTACCAATACGTGGGTGCAGATAAAGATAATGCCTCCAATTTTTCCAGAAACACGCTTCGAGTAATTTTAGCTGATCAGCGAGCACATAGGTAACCTTGAAGCCGAGTCGTTCGTAGTGTTTGATCTTCAATCGAAGGTGTTTGAGAAAGCGTTGAAATGCTTTGATGAAGTCTGAATGATCCAGTACTATATTAGTGTAGCCTCAGCCTAATGTCATAGACGTTTCGTCGTGAGATCGATTTGCGCACAAGGAGATTTTGTTTGTGTTGAAATAGCTGCGAAAATAAAGAAGTAAAGGTTATGTCTTTGGACATTTTTGTTTTAGGTATAATGCCCAAACAATAGGCCTCTGAATTGGAAAAACAGAATAGGTCTCACTCCGTGCTCAACTCAAGCCGATATACTGTCAGTATATCGGACCGACAATATAAAGCAGCCGTGCGCGGAAATTTCGCTAAGGTCCACCAAGGCGGCGGTATTTTTGGATCGCGAGCCCAGCGCGGCAATATGCAAGGTGATCGTCGGCGGAATCGCGTGACCTTCGGGTGTTAGGCTAAAAGGTGCAGTGGGGCGACGCCCGACGTCCGACCTAGGCCAACTGCGGCGCTTTTAGAAGCACTCGAGGCGTGTGCGCCGGCGCCGACCGGCCGAAGCCGCGCTAGGGCCGCACAGACAGACTAACGACATCGGTCTCCGATCTTTCCTCTGCTCCTCGATAGTTATTATTGCGCTTTATCTAGCAAGTGATCGTACCAAGAGATTGTCACCGACTTAATCCACATTGTGATTTAATATAAGATTTGATAGATACAAATCTTAGTTAACTAAAAGGAATTCTTTATGGAATGATTTGAGACTCGTTTACCGCGATTAGATCATAAGCTAATGATTAAGTCGACTTGTCTTTTATTACACTCAATTTTAATCTCAATCAAAAAAGCTTAATCAATAGTTTGTATAATGAATTCGAGATGGCTTAATTCTAATGTGAATTTTGGTGATTAAAAGAGTCTTTGGCCGACTATTAAACGCCGGTCTGGATTGGGAGTGCTCACCTCAGTCTCCGGTCTCCGGGCCGCGGTCTTTGTGGGCGCCGGGACGCCGCCCTATCCGGCGTATCGCGGCCGATAATCAATCAACGTAGTGGCGCAGATACGGGGCTCCATTTGTCCGCATTACGTCGGTGCGTCTGGGGCACTTAGCGCTCGCTGCGCCGCGCGCGTGGGAGTGCCAGAGTGCCAGAGTGCCAGAGTGCCAGAGTGCCAGAGTGCCAGAGGGCCAGAGTGCCAGAGGGCCAGAGTGCCAGTGGACGCACGCGTCTCGCTTGGCATTCGTCTTCGGGCGCCAGACTCACGGCACCTTTGCTGCGTCATCTAATGAGCCATGGTTTTGCTATATTTGGCGTTGCCAAAATTAGCACCAACAACTAGATGTTGTTCGGAAAATAAACCACTCGAAACTCCGCCTGTTATTATATTATTACGTCATAAAATTCGGTTTGATGATACTCGTAATCCAAGCTTACATTGCACTGTAAAGCTGCGTTGCGTGTGACGTGATTCTCAGCGCGGCTTGGGTTTCGGTCGTTAACAGATGTCGTCAAGTGGCTTAGATATCTGTAACGCCATGAGTGTTCGTAAAATTTCAGGGACAACTTAATTGAGAGGCAGCGAGAGAGCCGGAGTTTGAGGAGTGTGGTGCAGGATCAGTGTCAACACAGAACGTGAAGGAATGGTAATTTTGTACAAATATCCATGGCGAAGCAACTGCTCCGTATATTTGACTATTCAAAATCAAATTCTTAATAAATATGACTTTGGTGTGTTTTCTTTCCAATCTCAGTGGAAAGCAGAATTGCACTCCCAAGCACATATTTTAATAATCGAGCGTTTAATTGTTTCGAATGATTAATTATCTTCTTTCTTATATATTTTTCTAAACATCTGAGCCAGTATTGCTCTCTTTCAAATCCATGGAAGCAGCGGACATTTTCTATATTAATTAAGCCAAGCATTCACAATATCATTAGGTTTTTAATAGGCAACAAACTGAATTTTAGGAAACGACAGCTCCTACATGATGATTCAGTTTGTGAGCTACCTCAATTAAATACCATGTACAGATGTTATATTGTAAACTGATCTTTTAAAAAAAATTCAACTGTTGAATTTCTTGCCTTTCTCTTCTCAACAGAAAGTAAATCACTATCTGTTGAGAATTATATAGAAACTTATATACAAATTTATAGGTAATGTTCGAGGCGCAAGGGTCTATTTGAATAGAGATATTTTGAACAGCGAATAGTAAAGAACTCATTAAAATCTGCTTTTCATAATTTGCCGAGATATTTGTACGTATAGGATCTATATATCCTTATGAGTCCCCACGACTTTTACTCTCTGGCCTGTAACGGTAGGGGGCTGTTCCCACCGGCCGCCGCTGGGTGCGCCGCCACGTGGTGTCGAGTGGCGGCTCAGGTGCGGCGCCACTTCGGCTCTTTGCAACGCCATAAAACGGGCCCCGGGGACAAGTGGTCGGAGCACTTCAACCCACAAAAAGTTACCGCGCCTTACGGTTCGGAAAAAATTTCAACTAAAAAATCTAGGACGATATTAATGTTACGGCGATTTCTTTTTCTTTTCGACGGAAACGAGACCCCCTACGATTATTGCCTTACTCGTAACTATTTAGTATCATTTAGAAATGATTGTCACCTCTACGTGGTACCCATTCTGATGCTTATATAAGATCATTTTAATAACAGTGACTAAGTGATTTAAAAAATGGCGCTTGAATCTTTAACGCTGCGATAAAAGTGATAAAAAGATGCTTCGGTGAAGATTATAGCGCTATTTGCACGTAAATCGATTTGTTTGAAGAACAGAAACTAACTTAATGCTGTTCCTGGGATGGTTGGAATGGACTTATATAATTGATTGACACACCCGTACTAATCTATGAGGGATAGCTCACCGCATACCGTAGTTTCTTCCAATTTTATTCCTTAATTATGGCCCAGTTTCTTTAAAAGATCTGCGAGCGGCGGCGGTAATCACATAACATCAGGTGAACCTTCGACGCGCTCGACAAATTTTCACACGAAAAAAATAATGGTAATCGGTTCTCCTACGGTGATTTATATGGTAATTCACGTAAACAAATACTCAAATTAAATATTAAATCCATAATAACTATAGCGATAGCCCGACTGTATCCGAAAGTCTACGACTATAGCTAAAACGATTCTCTCATACTCGAAGCGTCGGTACAGCTTAGGCAAATAACCAGTGGGTGTCGAACGATAGAACGGGGAGCGTTGCCCGAAACACATTTCGCACATAACGGTACGAGATCCCAACTCCGAGTTGCTAAGCAACGCTTTCTGTTGGCCATTTGGTGCGGTATAGTGCGTGCGTGGAACGATGTAATCAAAAGATATGCAACCGCGGTTTAACATGCGGAATATGTTGTAAGTAGTTCATGATTTTCCAGACACTTTATTTCAGAAGGCTGAACTATTATAATAAACTTTATAATTCATTCGTTAATTAGCTTAACGTTCAAGCATTTCACAAAACGTGTGCCTTTTGCGGGATACGATTTTACATAATGTAAAATAAATTTAGGTATATCTGTTTCACTTTGATTTAACTGTGGTAGGGCCACGCAGCAATCTGCACTGTACAATTCTGTGTTGAATGGGCAAGTTCGTTCTGGTACTACGACCTCATAGAAGATCTCCGTTAAGTGGGAGTGTTATAGTGCTGCGTTTCGCCTGGTGAGTGATGTAGCCGGGGCCCACTTTATAATAAGGTAGCAACGCAACTGAGAACCTTCGGGTGTTGCAAATGTTAATGGGCGGCGGTTATCACTTAACATCAGGTAAACCGCCGAGATCGTTGGCCACCTTCCCACATAATAAAAAAATCTAAAAAGTTTTATTCGAGTCAATAAAGTAATGTCGGTTGAGGTATTATATAGTAAACTGTTAAATTCACGTTAATGGCGCTTAAATAAAAACTATTTTCAGATAGGCTAATGGCACACGCTAAAATACAATTTTCTGTCTCGATCGACATACCGTTGACAGATAAAGTATTCTATTCAACACCAATCTTATCATCTGTTATCGCATTATGAGCGACGCGCATCAAATTACGCCAATGGCAAAAAATCAAGCGCGTGCGGCCCCCCACCGCCAGATGGCAGTGCGCGATAAGACGGTTAAGAAAATGGCGGCCGCCGCTCGTAAAAGCGCTATCAGGCGCCAAATTTCGCTGTGCGTTATCGATTGGACTATTAGCTAATGACTAATACCTATAATGGATTAGATTGTGGTAGACATAGGTTATTTATGGAACACTGTTCGAAATATACACACACGGGACGTCAGCGTATACGTATAAAAAGATGTGAATAGAAATACTAGAGGTAATACAGTGATATGAATGTGGAGCTAAACAAATTTATTGTTCGGGTGTAATGAATTAAGGATCGTCTTAGTATTACGAAAATTTGTGCAGTTATACGATTTATAAAATTAATTAATCAATATATTGCGATTATTACATTATTTCATTAATATGTTTAGTAAAATGTTTACTTAGAATTGTGATGAAAACACTGTTCTGACTGCCATCTCGTGACGAAAAGTATGATTAATATCAAGATTAATTGCTACCAATGAAATACCAAGATTGAATGCTAGCAATTTAACTCGCCGCAGAAGTATGATGCAGACCACAGCTCTACATCTCGTATTGAATGGCGCCCTACAAATTGAGAACAGTCTATAAAAGATGTTGTTTGAAGTTGTTTTTGAAAAACAATCGGACGTGAGTTTTGTGAATTTTATTATTCCATTTGAAAGTTTTATTTCACGAAAAATTTTTAGGTGTTAAGAAAACTGTGCCAAGTATTTAAATACGAGCTCTACACGTAAATTGAAAAGAAAATACTGGAATAAAGAGTTTGCGCATTAAAACAATCCTATATCGTATCTAATGTAAGACGCATTTTAAATTCTATTCACATTTCAAGAAGAAAGGCCGACGGGCGTGGGAGGTACGAATTGGTAGAGTCGATAGTGCTTGAAAAGCACACGAGATTTGAATAGTAAACATTGGAGTCCAACATGAAGATGAAGCTATAAATGTATTAAAACATTTTATATTATATGTATATAACTCACAGTTTCTCAAAGGCAAAACATTTATACAGTAAGATACTAAGCTGCTTTAGTAACATCGACTTTGTTATATCGCATAAGAGTAGTTTTTATACTTAGTGAGTGCTAATTTATCTTTTCAATACTATTCAATTCATTTTTGTCATTTCAGCTTAATATAGGTACATACGTTATTAAGAAAACATAAGTATTTCATAAATTCCTTTGTCTTGCAAAAGCCTTCGAGTTTCCACCCCTTTGAAGAGCCTCGTAATAGCCGAATGCTTTTAATAACCCTCGCGTCCATTTATATTCTATCGGCACTAACAATTATTACACACATCAAGGAGCCTCCTAATTAACTTGCTAATGCGTTCGTACGCTGCTAGGGTTATTTGTAGCTGTTTACGCGTTACTTCTGTTAATTGCAGCATTATTTTACGAGCAGTTAAAGGAACTGGGCCGGTACGTTCAGCAACTCTACGTGTGCTAATTAGTAGCGCGGAGTTACCCTTTCGTTGTCGAGTTGATGACGTGTGCGGGAGGCCGATAAGCGTGTGCCATAGAGAACGCCACTGATGGACTTGTACGCCTTCCGTTATACGGTCGGCCATTTTGGAACTTCACGATGTTAATTATGTGTAATAATTCACTATGATTACATTTGTTTTTATGTTTCTGCCTGTATTTATCTTTAATTACCTTGGCAATTATCCTATTTACGATATGTTGTGAAACTGTTCGTTTGGTGATTAGTTTTGTTTAATAATACATGTCGCTCCAAATCGTAAATTATGATTATCAATATTTAAAGCAGAATGTTGCAAACTTTATTTACTGTTTCTATGTCCATTGTCATTTTTCTATAATGATATGTAGCTCAAATAGATAAATTCAAATAAAATTTACAAGTTCATTACCGACTTCGTTACTATATCAAGTCAAAACTCACCGAAATAGTCCTGTGCAACGAAGAGGCAAGATAATAATAAAACTGACGCCAACTGCACCTTCGAGCTACGTCCATTACATATTCCAACATGGAACAGACTTATTATGGGGCATTAATTAAAGGCGCACATATATTGCGTTGGGGACCTATCGGGAATGGAAATAAACAATGCGCGCGCTGGGTCGGGCCCAAAGAAGGCGCCGGGAGAGCCTGCCGGGGGCTCCGCCCCGTGTCCCCTCCTCTCCTCCGCCCCTTCTCCCCGCGGGGTCTGCCCCTCGGTGCCATCCCGAATGAAGCGGGCCGCGGGCGAATGGCGATACCGCACCTCGCCGCTCGCTGAGGTGACCACGTTTGTGGCAAAAGTGGACCAGCTCCTCTCGCCAGCTCCAGATGATTCGTCAATCTCACCCTTAGCAATCACCGATCGCACACTGGCCCGTAACGAGGCAACTTGAGAGCGCACTGAGTGACCGCCGTTTGGCGATGAATGGAGAGGCGCGCCTGAGAGAGCGCGGCGCGCCGAGGCCCCGCTGCGATTTGTAGAGACGGCTCCATTGATGAGGAGGCGGATAGAGCCGACGCGGGCGATTAATCACGCCGATAGATCGTGACGTTGGCCGGAGATGGAATCGTCTAATGCTCTCTCGGTGACTTTAAATAAGTTGTCGTATCCGTCAACGGTATGGTTGTTGATATGTTAAATCGCTAAGAGAAATTGCCGTCGCGGGAATTTGTATGCTCTCACATCGGCGCCGGGAAGGAGGTCCGCGCGCGGCGGATCGCTTAGTCACCCTACTCGGGTATACCTGATAATGAGTGACGGTGTGCGCGCACGTGTGCGTGTGTGCGCGCGTGTGCGTGCAGCTCGGCGACTGGTTTGGCGGCCAATGTCTCCGAGATATGTATTCATCGAGTGCCGAGGAATGTCGACGGCGGACACGAGTATCACGATTTCTATTCAGTAAATGTCCCGCCGCGAAAGACGGCCGATGTGGAAACGCTTTAATAACAACATAGCTGCTATTATTATATCTCCTGCACTGTTCGTAAAGAATAACTGATAAGTCTTGCCGGTAACACTTAAAAAAGCAATATTCCTCAAAGACACACACATTTTAGCAAACACATCTTTATGCCTGTAATCGAGTCAAAAGTTTACTACAGTTTTATGCTGATACATTGTTAATTAATCTTATCTATCGTGGCTATTTCAAAGGCGACCGAAAGCATATTTGAATGGAGCCGTGAAATGGATTATACATTCGGCTCCAACGAGAGGTTTCAGTCGCCGCGACATTAATCTCGGTGTCGTGACAAATAGTAAATGCTAATCACCGAGTTATACTTATACGAGTTACATATACCTACACTGGCCGTCTCGGTTCATATAAAATTCTTTCTTTCTTTCTTTCGAGAAACATTTTAATAAGAAAATTAATTTTAGTTAAATTTATTTCATTATTATTCGCCAAATTGTCAAACTCGACCATAAACATTATTGAAAACTCGATAAGGAACATAATCATATTGATTATAAAATCTTCTTTTTTTTACCAAAGAATTTTAAAATACTGCACCTATTATATACATATATTACCAATTCAAAATATTATCTTGTAAAAAGTAAGTCAAATCATTCGCAATTGTTAATTCAGACGATAGCAATTGTACAGGACTACAAAGTCTCCGTAGCTCATCAAAAAATAAAATCGGTTTACAAACACGTTATTGAATAAACTAATAACTGTAAATATGAATAATAATGAAGATAATAATGGATAACATTTATTAATTATTTATTAATGTAATAATGGATAGATTTTTCCTCCGTTGTTTCAGAGTAAGATCACAGCACTTTGCAGGCCCTTTGCCTTTGTCAGTACGTATGTACATATGTAGTCTTGTTTAGTATCTAATAATAAAACGTGATTTTACGAGCGGAGATGCGTTGGACACTAAAAGGGGACATCGTTAATACAGCAATAAAAGCCTTAAGAAATTCTTTATTAATTTATATTTAATAGGGCTTGAGGTCTTTACAAAGTAAATTTCTTTGTTTTCCCCGCGATTCGTTGCGTAACTTTTGTGCGGAAGTGGCATTTTAACCGAAATTCTTATTTATTTCACGTTCCTTCGCTTTACGTATGTATATTACAGAGAAAGGGTGTAAGGAGACAAGAGGTGCCTAGAATATTTTTATCTTTTTGTTTAAGTCATCTTACAAAATTAGATACTGTATAGAATTATTGTTTAAGAGTGATCGGAGAATTTACATGTGTGTACATTTAATGCAAAATTAACTACATATTCCTCCACTGAATATTAGGAGACAGTATTTAGCAGAAAAACTTCGGCTTAAATGTAAATCAAGCACGAAGAACACTACTGGTATCAAAAAGACTTCTTTGCTTTTCATCCACGGAAACGTAAACAGTTGAATAAGTTCTCTTTAGATTATTGGATAAGTAGTGCATATTTTTAGAGATATTAGATATGATATAGATAGTGTACATTTTAGTAGAAATAAATATAATATGGCATTTTTAAGAATTGCATAACAGAGCTTTATCTCAGAATTATCATAATAGTTACAGATTATTTAATGATGCATCTAAAAATAACGGTACATGTTGCATTGCGCTTTTTTATTGAAAACTGTGTTAGCAACAAATTAGACCAACTTAGCCGTCTCTTTCATAACCTATTACCAGTGCGCCGAATAGTCTAGACCAGTGATTCTCAACCACTGTGCAAATTTCAAAAGTGTGCCGCCAAATTTTGCAAATATATAATAATGTTAATATTATTAAATTATATCATTTAAAAAGAAAACTATTTTTTGGCATTAACCAACATTAAAACTAAAAAAAGATCATGATTGTTAAATGTAGAAGACGATATGAGAGTAGCATTGTCATTTTTACGACCAAATATAAATGAAATTATCAAAAAACATCAAGCTCAAATTTCGCATTAAAAATATTTTTATTATTAGCTTGTAATTAATCCCTTAATAAACGTTTAGTTATTATTGTAATATATATTAGTTTATTTCGTATATTTAAATTTTTTATCATAAACTATTTATGCAGTGTGTTGTAGTAAGTAAATAATTTTTATCTTTTTCTTTGTGTGCCGCCAAATTTTGAAATCGTTTAATATGTGCCGCAACAAAAAAAAGGTTGAGAATCACTGGTCTAGACTACCCAGTCTACTTCCCGAGGGTCGCAACTTGTATCTATACGACATACATATGGTGTAATATTATATAAAATAGCAAATAGTCGCGACTTCCTTAAACTAACGGTTTGTAAAAAAATATGTTAAACATTTAGAGAGACACTGCAAGTCTTGGAAAGCAAGTTTAAATTAGCGTACTGTAATCGTTTTGTTACCGTTCAGAATTGGCATGTTGAGACGTTTCCGTAGTTGGTATGCGAAGTCAGTCAATCGAGGCGCGCCCTTATCTGGACATCTTGTCCGGCACCTGCCATTCGCATTTCACGCTCCGCTCACTTCGACGACAACTAAAACATTGCGGGTGTGCAGATTTGCCCGACCCACGCTTAAACGGCCCGAAATCTCACAGTGTTCTCGAAAAAACCTAGAGTGGACTATTTGCCATTACGTGGGTCAACCGTTTGGAACCTATCAGCAGTGTTCAGTTCAAGCCTTTACTTACTGGAATCTTGGTAAGCACAATCAGCCGCGACAATGATCTAACAAGTGCCTCATTATATGCCCAAACGATGGCATGGTTAATTCTAAATTCACTTCAGATGTTTGAGGGTTTTTTTCTTTTTCATTTGTACTCAATAGACTAAGAATAGACACTACATAATAGACCGCCCCAACATAACCTGCATAAGATTGCTTGAAGCCATTTATTAAAGCCATTGCGAAGCTATTAAAAAATTAGGTGCGTACTTGCGCTCTTACGCAGTTATACTTCTTTAGAGTAACAATAGAAAAATAATGAAAAGTCTGAAAAAACCCTGTCTGGCACAGTACTATTTGTTTTTGACAAAGACATTAAATGCAACTGATAACGTTTTACTTAAATAACTTGGAATTATAGGTAAATGTTAAAAATTGTTTTTGGTTGCCCTGGTAATACCACGAAGTTGGTCGAATTTGGTTGCTTTGCAACCAACTTAATCATATTGCTACAAAATTAATCGTTAAAACTAAACAATAAATTTGTTCTATAAAATCATTGTCAGACCAACACCGTGTACGAACTGTTTTAAAATAATAAAGTAATAGCAGTAATTTTTCAAATATGTCGAAGGCGCGAAGTATATTTTAATTTATAAAATGAAAAACTTGCAGCAATATGAAACGAGTATCTGCCAATTTGGACAAAATCTTAATGCGTGTGTACAATCTTGAAAATGCTTGTAAATAATTCATCACGCAATAGTAAAAAATGAGCTTATTAGATACTTGAAGATGGAAGTATGTTCACGTGGTCGATAGCGTGGTAACGGAACACGTGATATATCTTCATGTGACATGTTTAAATTTTCTGTACGAACGATCGGTTCCGTTATCTATTATATTTAAACTTAAGTTATTCGCTTTAGCCTATAAAAATAAAACAAAATAACAAACATAAATTCCACCCTTCCTTTCAATAAAAAATCTATTCGTTTTATGTCGCTACGGATTCCAAATACGTCGTTTTGAGATAGGTCACCGAAAATTATTATCTCTGTATGGGAGTAGATAATAATGGCTCCTGTTATCAAGTTTTTACAGACCTAATTATATATAATAATGTTAAGCGTGATTAAAAAATGAGGCAGCACACCGATGCAGGCCATTTGTATTCGAGAGTAACGTGACACTGAATAAAATTGAAACATAAGATCCATTCGGAGCTGTTCAAAAAATAGTTAGATATAAATAGTAGAACACATCACGACGATAAAACTTATATTTTAAACGAAGATGCTTGTAAGGAACGAAATTGGATGGAAATGTCACGACTCGTCTTATTTTGTTAAATTCAAAAAAATATCCAGAGATTAATTTCAAGCGTTACTTGTTCCGATGCAAGGAGAATGGTTAATGGATTATTTTTCTGTCGGACTTTTCCTTTTCAGCACTCAAATGGTAAAACTTTACAGATTTTAACTGCAAGAATTGAACATGTATCATTAAAATATATGTTAGCGTTTGAAGTGTCCGGAGAGCTTTTTCCGAGTTTGATGGATGACCGTGAGTAATGCAGTTCGAATCCGTCTTAACTGACGGGAGGAAGCTGACGCATCAACGTTAATATGAACTTGTGTTTCATTGCAATACTCACATTTCCTGAGTTAATACTAGTTAATTTAGTAACGTATAATAATTTATAATGTTCTTGATAAGTTTACGGTTCTAACAAAGAAGCAGTTTACAATTCCAACAACCAACATGTTCAATCTGTTGAATATATTAATTAGTAATAATATATGAATTACCAATGTAACTATTGTGGTTGTTTTAAAATTAAAATTTCATTAAATTAATTCCATACATTCTGATCGAAAAAGTACCCTCAAACCGATGCGTATTGCTTCCATCAAAGCGCGAAAACCGTTTAATGCAACAGATAACCGAAACATTAAAGGAACATCAACTTTCAAATCCGTTACATTTCGTTAGGGGAGACGTTAAGTCCCAATAAAAATGATGATAAATAATCTGTAATGGGAACGTATTTATCAAACGCCAGGTCCCCCCAAGGTGCTCACAGATATCGGGGGCATTAAAAGGCAACATGGCGGCGACGAGGCCTCCGAAAGCGAACATCGCCTATTAGTTGCAGCGCGCCGTTCGGAGCGTTTTAAAGACCATAACGCTGCCTCGGACGGCACGGCCAGCGGATGGTGACCAATTCCGATGAAAATGAGAGAAGCGCGAGGCGTCGGGGCTTCGGGCACTTATGGGAAGAAAGCAGTCGCGAGGGCCGCCGCTAATTTACGACTCATCTGCATAATGCGGCGGGAGATTACGCGCCAGGGCTGCCAGCTGCCCCCACCGCCGCGCGTTGTCAGCCCTCGTTACCTCACCTATTGCGTCTGAACGTAATTAGACGGGTTTGTAATGAGAGAAATTTCAATAAAGTCAACATACAATTTTATTTAAAACACAATCTCGCCTCAAATTCTTATGAGCCGCAAAATAGAGAATTAGTTCCGTAGTGTAAACAAACTAGGCATGTAAGAATAAATCATCTATAAGAAGACACAAAAGTGGATTCGGTGAGAGGCGTGTAAGCATCACTCTCTATTCTGCAGCAGCGGGTGTTATACACAAGCATTACACTGTGTTTTTTTTTTCTTCACACATCCTTCAGGCGTTCGGGCTGCGGCGTCCCCGCCGGCCAGCCCTGTGCCCGGGACAGTTTCCCATGATGCCGGCGCTGTCGGCTTATCGCGTGGCGCCTGCATTAGTGGGCGCGGGCGCTCTGCCCCCGGCCTCCCCCCTCCGACCCCTCCGGCCCCGGGAGCCCTGCCGTGGCGCCGCCGCTCTTAGCCCGCGACAACGTTTCCAATGGCCCTTTTTTTCCCCGTCCACTCTCCATGTCGAAGGTAATTAATTAGGGCGCGGCTGCCCTCTTGTGTCCGCGCACATCGATGGGACTCGTGAGTCGCGAACTGAGGCAACGCTCAATCGGATTGTCTGTTCGGTGAGGTGGATTGGAATCGGCACTCAATATCGGACGGTTAACATTTATGGGAGGCGGCGAACGAAGCCTACATCTACATTATACATACAACATAGGTATAATGAAGTAGAAGATAAAGTAGAAGAAGCAGGGGGATTTTGGTCGCGTACAGCAAGTGGAAAGTGGAAGGCTAGTATAGACCTCGCTGTGTCGCTAAATGTCGACACATCGAGTACCCTATGAAAGTAGACATCAAGATGTCTATTGAAGACACAAGCATGACCCATGATTGTGTTTTAATAAATTTTATAAAGTATGCATTCGTCAAATCATAGTAGCTAAGGCTTAAAATAAAGTTAAGTTTAGTTATATCCACGTAAATGGAACTAAGACTGCGATTACATTACGAAGATGAATGTGTATGAATAGTCGGCCAGTGTTACAGATGGAAAAAAGTTATAACAAAACCTAGTAGGTCATATATTTTATTTTTAATGTATTAAAGCATTGTCATAAAGGTATGTTTTGTAAATACGTTATGTTAAAATTGCTGTTACACTAGAGTCTATTCTATAAAGTGTTATGAAAAAGATGTTGTGTTGCAATTTTGTAATTACACAGCTCACATACTAGTTGTACTTAAACTATTTACATGAAATATAAATGTTTTCGTTCAAGGTAATAGCCAACCAAATGGAATGAATAAAGAATGAATAATTTATTCATAACAAAAGTGAATATACCGGATTGTAATAATTATAACTTTTGGTTGAATCAAGATTGTTTGACATACACGACGATCTTAATAACTTATGTTAAAAAAGTGTTCTAACTTATGGTAGAACACTTTTTGTTCTCACTTAAACACACCCTAGAAGTAAAAGTGAGGTTCGAAATGTTGGATTGACGGGGTAGTTCATAAAAAGACCCATTTAATTTGGCTCATATTCCGTGTAACTTTGATCTTTGAAAAACTTTGTAAGATTATTCTTAAAATATGCTTTAATACATCACAAACTACATATAAAATAATCTTCAAATTATTCTAATAATTTCCGAAAATTCAAATAAAATGGAAATATTAAAATTTCATAATAGTTAATAAAATGTTCTTCCGACTTGTTTTATAATTGGAACATTGCGATAAATTATTTTCATAACAAGTAATAAACCATATTTTTGCATCGCATGTAATCTCGGGCCATATTACGAGGAATAATTGGAAATTCTGATAAAATTACAAGTCAAGTCATCTTTATACCTAACATATAAGGATGAGTTGGGGTCAAATCTTCACACAACCATAAATATGAAATACATATTTCTTACGTACGCATGAAGTCAATTGTTCTAGTTTTATTTTCCTTTTCTCAATTATATGTTCTGGGTTTTTTTTGTTTCTTTACAGTTATTGATATATTTTATACAAACTTCAAATTTGTTATGACGGTAAATCAGCGAGCGGTGCACAAGAATAAATTATTACTGTCGCCAAAGGACATCCTCCACAACAGAGCTTCCAGCAAACCCCAAATAACAGACGAAACACAAAAGTACGTAGGTACTGTGAGTTTTCCAATTCTCATTATATTTAATCAATCCGCAATATGTTTGTCTGTAAATACTGTTTGTTGTACGAAGGGGCAGGCTCGTCCAGGTAAGTACCACGACCTCACAGAAGACGGCGTAAAGTGGAAGCATAATACTTTCGCGTTTAGTCTGGTGAGTGAGGTGGCCGGAGCCCAATTTTCAAAAGGTTGTCAACGCATCTGGAACCCTCGGATGTGGCAGATGTCCATGGGCGGTGGTATTCACTTAACATCAGGTGAACCGTCTGCTCGCTTGGCAACTTTTGAATTAAAAAAAAAAATATCAGATATTTCAAAAGAAACACCTTAGTGGATTATCATTCCTTACACGTTAAACAACACTGGCTTATTCCTGTATTTATGAGGCTGTACACATAAAAGAACCTAAAATTAATTTAAGTGCTTAATACACTTCCATTTTGTTTATTCGTTTCAACAAAAATCAGCTGCTTAATTGCGGTGTAATCTTAAAAAAAATCATGTCAATTAAAGTGCGTTGCGTGTTTTGTTCCGACAGGCGCCCAATGCGGCTGGCTTTAAAAAGTAACGCACTCGTCGGCTGCTCTTGTTAAGTCTGCCTCTAATTGGAACATTGAGCAGCGATAATTAGACGCGGTTATTTCTTAACGGCGGCAATACATCGATTGCTACGTTATGTCGGGCGAATACGTGATGTTCCTGAGACCTGTAATTGATGGACAACACGTACTTTCTATTCGGGGCACGGTAATAAGTGGATGTTATCTCATTAAGTACAGAATGATGACATTACTGACACACAATACACCGCGTTATCGATTCGGTGAAATTGTGACGAAATTTCGAAACGCTATTGATATTATACGACCATTGCAAAATGTCATTATGATCCAACTGACGTCTCGGTTAAAATGCTTAAGTTTTTGAACGGGACTTTTGTATAAAGTCATAGTATGCTGCGACGGGGATAAAGCTAAACGCGTGATGCAAATTGGGCGCGCACTGGAGCCTGGAGGCTAGTGCGGCGCCCATTAGCGGCTTTACACGGGATTTCAATTTAATTTGAACGAAGAGAGCGCCGCTGTCGGTGCCCTTTGTGAGTCCGCGCCCGCCGGCGGTAGCCGCGACTAATCTATCCCCGCGGGTTTGGCTTACTTTGTAACGCGGTTTTATTGGTTTTAAGCGTGGCGTCTGTATTGCAATTGAGGACGAATTTCATTGCAGGTTGGCAATTAGTTAGATATTCGCTACATTTTATGAAAAATTTCGTACTTTGAACAACGAAGTTAGACTTTTCTAGTTCACGACCAGATTTCAGTTAGCAAAAGAGTACTCTTGAGAAAGTTAACAGGCCTGCCTAAAATAGTAAATACTTTCTCCTGTTTTGTCCCCTTTTTCGAAGCCGTTTTTGTTACTAATACGTATAACGCGGTGAATTAAAAAACAAAAAATACTGGGACTAGGTGATGTCGTTTCGTTTTGGAAGAAAAAAAATCTCAATGTAAAAAATAATAGAGGGTATTTGAGCGTGACAGCGCAGGTAAAACATTGACGAACAATTTATTGGTTGGCACTTAAATAGACGTTGTTTGCTTTTAAAATGCGCCATTTATTTTGCATTAATTAAACTTAACTTCTTCGTATTCCTTACATTGAAAAATATAAATTAGATAGGAGCCTAAATGAACCTAATGTTTGGAAAAGTGCCATACTTGAAGCCATCGATAGAAATAATGATTTTCTATGTCGACACGATAATGAACCTTTTTGTAAAACTACTAGATATGCGTTAAAATTCCTAAAGTAATGTTTTGGGCCTTTTTTGTTTTTAACTCCAGACGTTTCCACTAATTTTTGCCATTATGGTATGGTGTGACAAGTGGTCCGGGCCATCAATCGGGTTGGGGAAAAACTCTTTTCGCAAATAGTATGTATGTACTTATAATATAATCTCTTTGGCTATACCATTTGTATCTGGCTGGTTTTGGTATCATTAAAAAGTTTAAATTTTAAAAAAGATAATTCCAAATTCAAATTGGGAAAATGTGTGATTTTAATTTGTTTTTCTTACTGTTAATATGAGTGATTCTAATGAAGAAATTCGATAAATTTTAAAACTTTACTACAAAAAAGATAAAAATGCAACGCAAGCCGTGAAAAAAATTTGTGATATTTATGGACCTACTGCAGTGTCTGTGAGAATAGCACAAATTTGGTTTAAGCGTTTTCAACCCGGAAATTTTGATGTTAAAGATGCACCTCGCTCTGGGCGATCTGTTAAGGATAAAATGGATGCCATTTTTGAAAAAGAGGAGCAAGATCGGCATATCAGTAGTTTTGATATAGCTGAAGAACTGGGAATTGCCCACAAAACAGTTTTGGCGCATTTGAAAAAAGCTCGGTACACAAAAAAGCTCGATATTTGGGTGCCTCATGAGCTCTCTGAAAGAAACCTGATGAACCGTGTACTCATTTGTGATTCTTTATTACGACGTAATGAAACCGAACCAGTTTTGAAAAACCTGATACCTGGTGATGAAAAGTGGATCACATACGACAAGAACGTGCGAAATAGGTCGAGGTCAAAAGCTGGTCAAGCTTCACAGACTCTGGCAAAACCCGGGCCATCTCGCAACGGATGGTGGGATTGGAAGGGCATTATTCATTATGAGCTGTTACCGCCAGGCAGGAAAATTAATTCTGAACTCTACTGCGAACAAGTGATGATATTAATCGAAGCGGGCGAAATTAATCAACAGAAAGGGGGTGGTTTTTCATCATGATAACGCTAGACCTCACACATATTTAGCCACTCAGCAAAAAATAAGAGAGTTTTACTGGGAGGTGTTAATGCATCCAACGTATAGTCCTGAGCTTGCACTTTCAGATTTCTACTTGTTCCGATCTCTTCGGAATTCTTAAGGCAGTGTCAGGTTAACATCACGAGCGGACTGCCAAAACCACTTGTCACGGTTTTTTTTATCAGAAGCCTCAAAATTTCTATAGTAATGCGATCATGTCCCTACCTATAAGACGGCAGAAAGTTATGGAACAAAATGGCACATACATACTTTATTTAAATGTAAATAAACTTTATTAAAAAATGTTTTGAATTTTCATATAAAATGCGAAAAAACATTTTCCCCAACCTATTATATAATTTTGATGGCGACAACCGTATTTAATCGACTCCAAGTCATAGGTGACATGGAATATAGTCTGCGCGGAAGATTGTGAAAAGCAACGGATTGGCTAATTATCGCACACATGTTGATGAGTATAATTTGTACACTAAATACAGTCATAAATTAGATTTGTTCCATTGCCTATAGAACGAGTTCACGCTGGCTACGTTCCATGTTCTCAGTGTTTAGTTTTAGTTATAGTTACAGTTATATGTTTATCTTAAATTGTGTTCGAACTTCACTATGGCAATAGGTATTGCTTCTAATGATCGTTGTTAGTTGATGTATAAAATAAATAAAATTAAGTATATAATTATACTTAACTATACAACATTACTTTCTGCTTTCCTTCCAATAAATAATTAAAGTTTCTGTATCTGTCATTCCCATTGCAAGTGTGTTATATCGAAAAACATAGGGTAGGAGAATAAACAGAGCTTCAAAAATTGTCTTTTATAGACGGCCAACGAAGGTCGACGGTGGCAGGTGTTTGCAAAAGCGACCGATAAAAAGAGCTCCTTGAGTCAGTTTAGTAGGTATTAAAATCTAATGTTTCCTCGTAAATTAAAGAACAAATACTAGTAACATACTTTGTAGAGTAATATTTTAAAAAAGCGCAACAGGTTAGATCATCTAATAGTGCACTGAAACTCAAAACCAGGACAGTGTTAAAGTTGTGTAACGTAAAGGTAATGTAAAATAACAGCCTATTAATGTCCCAATTGTGGGCAAAGGCCTCCTCTGTATAGAGAGTATTGGGGCATAGTTCACCACGCAACCCCACTGCGGATTGGCGGACTTCACATATCGTCGTAATATTTTTTTTGTTAATATTTCGAAAATATGCCGGTTTCCTCACGTTGTTTTCCTTTACCGCTGAGCACGTGATAAATCAGCAGTTAAAATTAACAATGTCATTGGTGCCGGCATGGAGGATCGAAGTCAGGTTGCTCGAGCATACTGGATGAAAAGACAGGACTGGGGCGCGAATGAACTATCGCGGCTGTCTTACGTAAACGAGTGTCAAATATGGCTTCGGCGATAGCTTCCGTGACCTATTATTAGTAATGGAGGCCCAAAAAAAATCAGATCGCATCACGAGATGTCAAACAAAAACCGCCCACAATACAACAAACAGAGTGCTATCTGGAAAAAATCGACCACTTTTCTCAAGGCCCGAGCTGTCGGGTACAGGTGCCGATCGCCATAAAAAGTTAAGCAGTCCTATTAAGAGGCGCCGGACGATGTCGTCGCTCTGCGAGAAGCTTCTTCGGCTACGGTCATGCCGCTCTTATGGCTCGTGAGAACATAGAATAGCGCGCAATGGCCATCCACGAGATGCTGAGATTCCCTGAGGAACTGATTCACTTTCACGGGGAACTGGATACAACTTGTTATACACCAATCGAAAGATAAGGACCCAACACGAGTAAGCAGATTTCTGAAATTCTTAAAAATGAGAAATACGAAAAATGTGTTTCCTATTACTCTATATACTTTTTTGTGTGAGAAGATGGCAAGCGAGCTGGCGGGTTACTTGATGTTAAGTGACAGCCACTGCCCATGGACATTTGCAACACTCGTAGGGTCTGCCCATTCGTGCAACATCGAACTGTTGCATGGGCCTACCCCAGTCAGACTCTTACATGTACAGATGTGTCGTTTCTTATGCTGGTAGTAGTAAAGAAAAATGTGAGTGGAATAAACTGGATGTAATCTTATATTGTGATATGATACTAGCCGATTTGAAATCAAACTTTGTTCTATTAGACTAATTAACGGCAAGTTGCCAGTTTGTTGAAGTGCAAATTAGCATTTAGCTAAAAAGATATAAAATTTAAGCAACGTCAGAGGTGACTGTGTTCCCGATATCGTATGGAACGGTTTAATAACGAGACTAATAATAGCGGCTAACAAACGTCGACCGCTCAGCGCAACGAATAAATAGCAGCGCTATAATTGAACGGCAACGTTACTGAATGGCGGCGCTCGCTACCGGCCGCGCCTACCGCGCATTAATAATTCAAATTATTATAACAAGAAGCCGGCCGGATCGTGTGGACTTGTTTCCGTTTCGCTCGCGCCAAAGGACGCGGCCACGGGTGCGAGAGGGAGGTGCAAAGTCGGTTATTAATAGGTGAAACACGGCGATCGGAGTGGATTAACACATTAGGGCCGGCGGAGCGGAGACAAAGGCATTCCTGGACAGTGTCCCGACGCAATTAGCGCTCCCTCCCGGCGCCCTTTGAAGGACTCCGCGTCGGCACCAGCTCCTGCTTGAGGGCTGCGAATGTCGCAATGGATCCTTGTCGTGGCCTCATCAACATGCTATTGCGCCGAGGTCGCGGCTGTACTGCATTTTGTAGATTCAGAGAGCTTGCTTTCTAATTTATCTCGGAAAACGGAAAGTTGTTATTAAGAGATTTGTTACCGTTGTAAACAAGGATAAAAACGTTAATAACAAAAGTTATAGTTGATAATAAAGGGTACCTGTATTAAGCTGACCTAGCCCTTATTACCTTATTTCGTACTAACGATAAATAAGAGAGGAGTTTTAAGCTTTCCGCCGCTAGTAATTGTTTGTGAAATAATTGGTTTACTACAAATATATGATTAGATCTAGGTGGTACTGTTTAGTGTACTATTAACACTAATAAAACTATGGGTAGAAGGAAACATACGTGTCTTCATACACTGTATATTATTCTATAAGACATCTTGTTTTTTCCTTAAAATGACTATTTAAATTAAATAACGTACTTAAAATACGTTTAATAAACGCTAAGCATAAGTTTCATTTGCTTCGAACAATTACGCTTCTCAGGTGTCGAGATGTCCCACTATATCCGATCGGACACTAAGCCCGCCTTAAGCACATGGACGGACCAGCACCGAGGCGGGCTTATCGGACGGCGAGGGTCCGCGACGCGGCGCCAAGTCGGGCACCCATAAAGCGGACCCTCTCGCGCGGGAATTCATCAGCGGATCGATTTAATTGTGGTGGCGGCGGGGAGCGCGGGGCGTGGAGCGTGGGGCCGTTGCGGGGGCAGGGGTGGTGCGGGGCGGAACACGGAAAGGCTTTCGAGGCGGCGTTTGAAGAGCGCCGCCGGCCGCGCCACACCGCGCGCCTCTCACCACCGACTAATTTCAGAGTCAATAAGTCAATGTGAATAAATGTTATTAGGCATTCGTTATGATAACACGATACCCATGTGGTCGTTTACCCATTCAATAATGGATGTCGTATGGGGAGTGGCCGTGTATGATCATTTATAACTGTGACGCGGCCGAATATTGCAACGGAACGTTTCCAAACGTCGCTTTGTCTGATGCCCACTGGGGCTTTGTTTGTGCTGTCTCGCTACGTGCCGTGGTGGAAGTCATTAAGGCTGCGTTCGGGTCTGAGAGTGCCCCACATCCAGTTAGTGCGCGTAACGGGCGGCTAGTGTGTCGTGGCGCTAATGGGCACGCGCCGCCACTGCCCCCTGGCGACGCTGCCTTTGCGGCCAATGCACTCAAGCGCCACCCCTCATGGACACCGTGACCCAGCGGCCGCCTTTGTCCGCCACCTCGCGAGAGGTCCCGACATCAGTAAATTATTTTTATCGCATACGCCGTATCTCAACAATGATGACTGTCAATGACGCCGAGGATCGTATCCTCGGCGTCCGTTGCATTTATCGCGAGGCAGTTGTCGTGGAATTATCGCCGTACACCTGTACCATTGATCAACGTTGTTTCATTCTTGTGAGTAGTTGCACAAATATGCACGGGTGTGTAACGACGGTAAAGAAGGTGAGTGAATGTATCGTCTTCGAGTTAAAAGTGAAAACAATTTAATAAAGTATGTTCACGCCGAGTCTGAAATTTGCATAGAGTCAAAAAAGTGGGGTAAACGAGAGTTTGTCTCGTAAAATAGATCTTGTTCCACGACACGTTTTTTTCCGCCGCAATTGGACAGTGTTATCTTATCTCGCTTCGTCGCAGGCGTGTGTGCGGTGATGGGCAGTTTGCAACATTGTGTCGGCGAGTTTTTATCGCGCCGCTACCAAAGCGCGCTCCCTCGCCGCATACAGCTATCTGTATTAATCGAAAGTTACACCCGAACGGGGAATAATTCGGTTGAGTTACGGGTCGTGGCGCGTTGGCCCACTCGCGCCTCTCACGCGCCGACACGCCGTGCCAGCAATTCGCATATCGGACGATTTTATAGCTCTATTCTGTAAGCGAACTGCTATTGGAGTCCGTTTTATCATCGCTCCCGTCGCTTCTTATCGACGAACGTTCTTTTTTAAACGCGAGACGAACCGATTTGCAGCGATAGAGCAATTCTGAGCCATAATGCGCCGAGTCGCCTAATTTTTGTGTATGAGGTGAAAAAAATATGAGTTTTTTGATAAGATTTAACGAAGTTGAAAACAAAATCATCTTATAAGAGATTATGAATGCTTGCTAATTGAATCATCCGTACAATTATCATGTCTGTTTTAATATCTTAATCGATAAATAAATTGTACTCTAATGTCGCATCACTATCGGATTCTCTTCCGCAGTTTGCCTGCTCCGGGCCACCTGTACAACGGACTCGCTGGCACAACCGGAATTAGAACAGAATCCCAAACATTTATTGCCCCTGTGAAGTACCCTCGTTGTATAAATTCGTCAGAGAAATTCGAAAATATTTTGTTTTATTCTGAACTATTATATCACGTTTACCAAATATACAAATGTGAACAAACTCAAGTTGGTAAATGTTAACCTCAAGATTGAGTTATGTATTCGGACTTTCTAAAGAGTGGTTAAAGTAATAATGATTGACAGATCATTGAAGCTGACAGTTATTACATTCAAGTTATGAATAATTCAGAAAGTCGAACTAAAACTCAAAACAAGTATGTATTTTCTGTCACCTTAGTCAAACTAGTTGACGTAAATATCTTTATTAAGCATTTATGGACATCATCACCTGTCAGGGGTCCGTCCAGAACAGTCCAGAGAAAAGTCGACAAGAAACTCTTGGTGTATGAGCATTTCTTATGGCTTCGAACTTAATATAGAAAAATACATTGGCAGTTATAGTCCTAAGTGTAATGAGCAAGTGAAAATATATGCAATCAGCGAAGCGCTTAATCAGCGCTCGCCGTTGGATCGCCTCACGCGAGCAAAGCCACCAGCTAGTGACTAGTCAAGTGGCAAACTCTGCTGTTGTTGAGAAAATAGTAGGTTTTTTACAGACATCTTATTCTCATTAACCCAGGAAGTATGTTTTGCTTTTTCAACTACACAAATCGACCGTTTAATGCTTGGCTTTTCAAATGAAAAATCTATTAATTGACTACAGTAAGAACTACAACAGTTACTTTAAACTGAACTCTTCCTTTGTAGATGTAAAGAGATAAGTTCTACAGTACCTGGTAAACGTCTGATTATGTATAATAATAGATAAAAACATAAACGTTTTTGTTCCAACGCACGTTTCGTTTTAAGGCTTTTCATTTTTGAATAAACCCGGCATAGAAGAAGACATTCGGCTCATGTGAAATGCTAAGATTGAATTATTATTTATAAATTTAATTTTCAATTTATTGAGGCAAGCGGGTCACTTTGCCGGAACCACAAAGGGACCCATAACATTATTCTACTATCAACATAAAATCGTCCGTTCAAATAATTACCAGAGTCCGGATGCGTTGAATGTGTGTCACTTCGGTGATAAAAAAGGGTCCCCCGTGTCCTTTGGACCCCTTCACGTGCTAACGGGCCCCCGACAACGTGGCTTTTTTGTAAAACAATGGCGCGCAACTAACGCACTCGCGGCGCGACGCCTAGCAACCAAAACGCGGTGCAGTGGTAAGATCTTTGAGCACCGGGTTCACATTTGAAAGAGTTTAATGCAATTTAATGTTACAGGAATTATTTTAACACAAAGTTATTTAGTCCTAACCAAGCAAAGATTGTACTACGTGTGGGTAAACATACTTACACATGCTTCTATTTAGTGAATAAGTACGTGTTAAAGACATGTAAGACACTGGACATTCTTTTCTTTTTCCCGTAGTAGAGATCAAATCTGGTGCATTCGCCACTACACCAGTTGGGAAGTAAATTGATTATAAGAATAATTTAAAGAAACAGGTATCGATCTCAACTAAACGGAGATAATAACAAGCTCGATTAAATATTATAAGACCGAACGCAGGGGAAAGTGTTAGCCCGCTACTGCGTTCCGTTATCGATTTCTGCTTTTAGTTTAATTATATAAGCTTGGCTATAGCTCCAAAGCCGTTCTGAATACCACTATCAACTAGACTTTTCATGACGATCGTGTATTACAGTTACCTAGAATTGTCGAAGCTGATTCGGCGCCAACCCTTATTACTGTTTAAGAGCTAAGCAACGAAGACAGAGCATCATAAGCATATATAGAGATAGGGCCATTTTTATGTATTTTCCCCAGTAATGCAGCTAACCGAGGCGCGCGCGTCTAAAGTTGTACAAGGTAATGTAACGCGATAATCACTCAGCATCGGGGTAACCACCTGCTTTTGCACCTTTCCTTGCAAAAAGAAACCTGGTGTCCTTTGAGCGGGCGCGTCTTGCCCTCGGCCGTTGGTTACGATCGACTGATGGCCTAGGTCTGGGGCTAGGTATGGGCTTAAACTCGGAGCTCTCGCCGAGCGGATATGACGGCTATCAATTATTTGGCGAAAACGAATCGGCTGCGCCCACGACCCCCCCCCCCCCCCCCGCCCCTCCGCCGCCCCCCAATGCTCGTTTCCGTTAGTTGTCCCAATGCGCCTTTACTTTATCTAGCGTTGATTAACTGCAGTATTAGTTAAATCGAGGGCGTCGCCTCACAACTCTCTCCGCCGCAGCGGGCGCCCCGCCTCGGCCCCAAAGTTGACGCGCGGACGTTGACAAATGAATCGTAGGCCGAAACGACGCTGGACGATTGTTTATTCAATCGGATATGGCGGCAATTATTGTAAAGTGTTTTTTACACAGATGAAAGAAAAGTCTACGAAATGTGCGTGTAACAAAAACTATTCGTGAAAGTGAATCCCTCCTTTCGTTACATAATAAAACGGCAGTAAAACTTCTCATAAAATAAGCAATTTTAATGAGAGTAGAACGGTATTTCCCGCCGGTACAGGTGTGAAATGTAAAACTACCAGCTAGAATAAAATTGTGCGTTTAACGCGCCTCGTATATGTATATGGTCAGTTAATGAGGTCGTAAATCAATCGATGATTGGGTGCGATTTGGCAAAGCGGCGGTAGTTCAATATAGGCCTCTACTTGTATTTAGCATGTCTAATGAATCTCAGCAGCTGCCGATAAATGTAGTAGCTCAATTGACTAAGGTCTAGGAGTTCGTTTCAAATACAATACGACACCTAACTGACAAGTCAACAACACTATATTTAAATGTCCCACTGCTGGGCAAGGGCGTCATACTTAAGGTCTATATGTTGAAATTATTATAGAGTATTTACAAAAAAATTGAATTCGTCATGATAATAGCTTAACTTCTCTTCACATTTATTTTTATTCAGAAGATAAAGACACTCATGAGGATTGGATTTCATAATCACATGACAGTGTTCCGCGCTATTGTAGTCACATATTTCGAGTCGTACATTTACGTATCCGTTATTTATTGCAGATTTATGTTTATAAAATTGTCCTATGGGCATTCTGATGACCGCTCACACGTTCCATCGCTACATTCCGAGGCATCGTTGAATGTGACGTATTCACGATGCTCGAAATTCAGCTTGAGTGACGGCATCTCGAGGCGTACTGTTCGAACGGAGCGATAAAGTTCTGTGGAGGTTGCGACACTCTTAAACAAAAATTAGTGGAGAGCCAACTGTTTTTCTCGATTCCCAAATGAATCCTTTCGAAGCGCATCGTCCAAACTCGCGCGGATTGCATTTGACTTGTTGTTCCGGCGAAATAAATTGCCCAACGCCTTTCATTTCTATTATTCTTAATTAACTTCAAATTTTTAATTAAAGTTTTAAACTCTTGTATGTTAATTCTCGCCTCTATTACGCATTAGGATAATCTTATATTAACATTTATATTTAATAAAAAAGCCTCATTAATTTCCTCTTTTCAAGTTTTTAAAATGAAAAAGAAAAAAAGAGAAACTGTATTCAAAAAAAAATTCTCTATCAGCTTACAATGTATACACAAGACACCTAACATATCTTATAAGTTATAAGTAATATTTAAATTTAACTGTACTTATTGTATCAACAACAACAAACAAGAAAAAATAAAAGTATTTTATAATATTGTATGTGAACACTTAAGGTTTTTACGAGTATAGCATAATTAGAATGAAGCGCAAAAAATCTATATGAAATAAGTGTCGAAAGTTCAAAGCGATATTTTATTTAACAGCCCATTATTCAATTGGCACACACGGCTTCAACTATCTGTGATATCGATCTATTTCCGACTAATGGAATCGTTTAGAGAAGTGTCCGTGTTTAATTTGTTAGAGCTCGCTGCGTCCGCGGCAGGTGCGGCCGCCGACGCGTCTCCGTCCACTTCCCGGCGTGTTCCTGTTCCCCTTTCCTTTTCTAGCGCATCGCGTGACATTTGTTTAGCTGCAATTAATCGTATCGAGGGCGTGTTCGTCCAACCGAGCTCTGAAACGCAACGTTGTCGGAATGTACGAAAGATTCGCATCTGAGGCAAACGGTCTTTGCAAGAAAAGACTCGCCGAAAACTGCGATTGGGAAATATAGTATATTAATCAGCGCCCTGTTGGGAAGCGGCCTCGGCTCGTTCTGCGGCCACAAGCGCACCACGTTGCTCCCTCCGTAACGTCCCATTCGGATCGAGTGAGAAATTGACTTCCGCGACTTAATTTTCGTTTAATTCATTCAGCCCGTTCGGTCGCCCGGCGGCACGTTAGTGCCGGAGGAGTGTATTGCGCGACGGCACGCCACACGCGCAATGACTTTGCCTGACGTCGTTGAAACCATTTGTCATCGCCAAGAAATTTATTTTATTATTATTATAGATGGCGGCAAATATGGTATTTTGACGACACATGTTAAATAGAGAGTCAATGTGCGATTAAGAACTTTTAGAAGAACACTTGGGAAGGTCGCGCCGCGTCGTAGCGAGAGCGACGCACGCCTCCGACGCCACTGAAACCGCAGCCTTAAATTAATTACCGCTTTAATTGTGTTTTTATTTTAATGATTATGACTGCGTTTTGAATCTTATTTAGCATACGAACGGCGAAGTGGCCGCCGCGCGGATGTTACGGCGATATATTTCTGTGCACTGTGCGGTCGTCTCTCACCTAAATAGTACTCTGCGCTTCCGAAAATAAAATTGAAATTGGAGTGGACATTATGTCCAGTGTCAAATGTTATTTTGTAATAGACATTAAAATGGAGCGATAGTTTCGTCGAATTTCTAATGGTTTTTCATTTGACTAAAATTACTTTATGTTAATATTATAAGTTATAATTTAGATCTAAAATTAAATTACTCACATGTTAAAAATACAAGCTAAAAATTCACCTATCAGTTTAAAATCAATGCATTTTAAATTTTATTGCAACCGGTTAAGATTCATGTTAATATTTTCTTCAGCTTCGCGTAAAGGAGACCCGTGAGAAATGTGATTGATACAAAGCCAAATAAATAATTAATATTTGATAAAATAACTCTGGCAAGTGAGCTCCGTAGTATCTATCTGTCATTAGGTTCAAAGTTGAAATGTTATAATTGTCCAACGCTCCAAAAAAAATGTAAGATTCAAAAATGGTAAGATTATTTTATGAAGTACTTAAATATATAGGATCGCTTAATAAATTTGTACAGCAATTAAATAAAACTTTAAGATAGTAAAGTAAGCGGCAACAGAAATAAATTTACTTTCACGTGTATTAATTAAAGATAGAGTTCGGATGCGGGCGTTGCCGAATGTACCCCCATGCTGACAGGTAATAACGGATAGAGCAATTGCGATTGCTCTTCGTACGTAATAATTCAGTGTCGCCACACATGGTGGCCCCGTGTTGCAACCGCTCCACGCTTTGCCTTCAAACTCTAGTGCTTTGGACGACGGTACAAAAGATTTCAACGCGTGACACATCTAATGCTGCTAATCTTGTTTGTCGTTGAAAATTTTAATTTCATGAATTTTAAGAATTATTATCATATTGGTTGGTCAGATCCAACCAAATTAATTGGACCAAATTTATTTGGCACTTCCTTTGTTACAAATATCACTTGTTTGTGTACACAGTAATGAAAGATAAAAGGCAAATTAATAAACTTGTTGTCAGTGTTCGGCACCTTCATGGAGTCATAGACACCTGTTACGGGCCCGTGTGTGCGTGTGGATCGTGTGGGCATGATGACGTCAGTCAATTAACTCCGATGGGAGAACATGGCGGGCTGCCTCCGCACGGGACCGACTACAATTTATTGCATTGTTTTTCTCGACGTTTTCGAAATATCCCCATTTTATCATAAAACCGACAAATTGTCGATCGCCCAATACCGGACCCCACGAGCGAACTAACTTATCGTCAGCGTTGTTAACAATTACATGGGAAGAAAATATACAATGACATTGTTTATTTTATAACCCATCATGTCACACTCATATGTCATTACGATTGAATATGTTTTTAGATTTGAAAAACCTTTAAAGTTCGGATGAATTATGGCGTTAAATATTAAATGGGCAACGAGTTTTTAATGGGCGATTGTTATCACTAATTATAATTCGCTCATTTCGATATAATCTTAGTCAATAACGTCGATAGATTTATGTGATAGCGTTACGTAATATTTGTGACGCGATTGTGCTAATTTTATTTGCCGCTTTATAGTGGTCTGCCTTTTTCACTGCTCTGGTTTAAAGGCTTCTTGTTTTTATTTTAATATACTTAAGCAAATGTGTGAGCAAGCAGTACGAAACGTGGACAGGAATAGAGTGACTCCAGTATTTTGCTACGTGATTTAAATTTTTTTCTATTGTATATTTTTCTTTGGACTTCAAGACATCGTTTCTTTTAATCCTTTTGTTATAACGTTATTTAGATGAGAAAAAATATCGTAACAGCAGAAACTATCAGTTTCTGCTGTTACGATATTTTTTCTCAGCAACCATGAGATATTTTTCGTTCTCGCTGTTGTTATTGAAGCAGTTTACTTGGCTTAACGAGCGCAGTATAGCATTCTGTGCCATTTTTGTATGATGCTGATATTGGATTTACAAGCTTCCCCGTAGCTGCAATCCACACATCCATTCCGTTTTCAGGATAGCCCAAAATGAGCAATTCGTTATATTAGGATAATCCACTATTTCTTCCTAATTCTTATCAATTAATAATCAGTTGAGACTCCCATGTTTTATGTTTAATTCCTTGCTTTCAGTTGTCATATTCTCCATTTCGTGAGAATACATAGTTCTCTGATTACATGAACTGGTTTTGATGTACTAGCCTTAGTTTTCCACTTTTGGGCCCATTCGGAAACACCTGGCAACGCGCTTTGCTATTTCTTAATCGCTTTGTTGGCCTTTTGAAACAAGCGAGTGAGGCGGATGACCTATGAATTGTCCACAGCTGAACAAATCCGTCTTGTGTTCTAAGACTAAGGTTCTTGCCGGCACTGAATTGGGACTAAAGTTGCCCACTGTATTAAAATTATTCATTTAAAGCTAACAACATCATTCAGTTAAAACGAGCCGATGGTAATCACTGAACAAAAACACTGCGCCGGCACTTAACGTCGACTCGACAAACACATGTCGTCCGTCTTTTAATAATATATCGAAGCTGGCATGTTGACATCACGCCAACACACGATCGCCATATTTCTCTATCTAATTTGACGTTTCGGAACGTTTTCCAACGCAGCTTGGAGACGTGTCCAACCGTAAAAGTTATTATTTAATCGTCGACATAATTAAAAGAATTCGCTCGCGATGAATAATGCATGGGTGCGCTCGATAAAGCAGAAGGTCAAAGAATTCGATTTGGGACTCCGTGTGCAGATGTGTCGATATTATGCGGCGCGCCATCACGTGGGAATAGAGCGGGTTGCCGACGAGTGGCTTCTCGGCTCTCGTGCGCCGTCCAGAGCGGACGAAAGCACCATGCGGTGGCAACACATTCCTTGTCTTCTTTCTCCTGGCCTTATTCCACAATAGGTGGGGTTGGTACAGCATGTTCCTCATTTATTTTCTGAACCATGTTGTTATTTCTGTTATTGGCTTTATTTTCATGACCAGCCGCCTGCCTGACGTCAACCCTCCTTAGGAATTCCAGCGAATTTATATTTATCTAACCTAAAATATTTTATAACTAGTAGATATACTAATTTAGGTACGAAACTTAATTACATGTACACAATTAAATCATTTCAAACAGGAAACTGTTTGTCATATTATCTTTAAATGCATTTCAAAACGATAACTCAACAACACATATTGAACTCAATTCACTTCTATCAGCCTCAGTTCTTCAGTACGCATGTATCTTTGAGATCTAAAGACATTATGATAGAATTTAAATGTGATTGGCAATCTGTGATATAGTTTGAAAATAGAAATAACTCCTCCCATTTTTAAAGACAATTTTAAAGATGTGAGGAGTTGATGTTTATTTAAGCTAATAAATTTATGGCATATTTTCAAAGGAGAGATCTGGAGTGAAAAGGAAAAAAGAACGTAAGTATTCGGTCAACATTGTGGCACGTGTGATTTAAATTTAAGGTCTCCTTTAAATTTAATTCTTAAATCAGAGAAACGATTGCTCCGGAAGTTAGTATCGTCCGAATATCAAACTGCGGTCACCATTCTCGGAGCCGAAACATCCACCCACTGCGCTATAACGACCGCAATAGCTCACAGGTAAACGCGTAGGCACCAAGGAGTTTCGAACAAATTCATCTGATTTATTACGTGTCGAGTGTAATGACGGAAGCACGCGAGAAAAAAAATCGCCATTTGACCTAAACGTTCGTTTGTCCACCACCGACCACAAGAAACCGCTCCACTCAAAAGCCCCGAGCTGATGGTCTCTCCGCGTTGCCCTCGAGGATTACGTTAGCGCGTCAAACGTGTTATTTAGGAGGCGGCCCTCGGCGATCACACGGACACGCGTCGCTTTATCTGCGCTGATGTATGCCGTCACAAGGGACTACACTTAGGGAACAAAGGGCGGCGCCCGCACTCGCCGCGCCGGATCAATAACAGCGGGGACAAGACGCGCTCGCCTTTTTTTTGTTGGTCCACCGACACCGTAGCGCCACTTGAGTGTTTGTTTGCTTGTTCGGTGTCCGAGAGGGCCATAATCACCTCGCCTTCGAGTGATCGTACCTTTTCAATAGAACGTCGTTCCCGATCAAGTAATACGACGTGTCTTGTGTGATATTGGAACTTTTATATATGACGAGTCTACCTATCGTACAACGACGACTCTCCGTATGTCATACACGCAAATTCAAATGGAAAAGGAACCTAGAACGGTTAGTGGTAAAAGGTTGAAACTGGCAATTGTAATATACATTTTTTTATATATGTCTGTCAATTGCATAAGCAACATTTAAAAAAAAAAATATTTGAAAGGTAAAACAATAGCACACGAAATGGCAAAAAATGTATTACTTTCAAATGACCATTGGAACAATGAGAACCCGTTAAGAGGTTGGCAAGATCCTGCCTACCGACTGGGCTAATGGGCGCATCAATCAATTTGGCAAATTGCCACGATAAAAAAGTGCCCAATAAAAGGGACACGGCAGATAATGCGAGGATAGATGGCGATGGGGTGGCTCTCGGCGGTGAAAGGGCCCGTAGATCGGAATGCCATTAGGAAGGGGCGCGGGTTGAGGTAGGGGCGGGGGTGTCAGGGCACGCGCCAACAGTTGCGCAATCCCGGTCCGCAGCGGGAAGGCAAAAAGTGACGCATTGTCGCAGCGGGCCTATTGAGCCGTCCGTGACAGGGCGGTCGCCGGCTAATTGTCCGCCGAAGGGGGATGCGAATAGGCGGTCGGTGCATGCGAGAACGGGACAGCGCCGCACCCAATAATCCCGCTATAAATAACCCGGCTCCTAATGCGCAGGCGCCACGCTTTTTTTAGCCGACCTCGACCGTCCCGACATGATACTTGGCCTAATGGAGGAGACGCGATAGCGCACGATGAGACACATTCCGTCGCGACTGTTGAGAGCTTAATCCCTCCCGAATAAAAAATGGGATAATGCACGTTGCACAATCGGGGAATGGGTCAGTTCTTTCTCAGCTTTTTGCCAGGGTGTTATGATAATGAGAGGGTGTTACGTCACCTCCACCCGCACCACTTACATCCATTAGGCGCCATCTCTTCTTTCTTTGAATATTATAAATTCGACATTTTGTTTGTTGGTTTGTGCTAATTTGACGCAACAATGATACTACGGATTGAGATGGGTTTATGCATAGGGAGTGTATTCTTGTGCCAAAAAAATTCTATTGTCAATGAACGAGGCCTGGGTGATTTTTGGGAAGATAATAGTTTAGCTTTTACCATAAACTTACTAATTTTATGATCCAGGATTTTTTTTATTTATGTTTTCACGTAAGATACATTTGGCACACAGCTTAATTCAAATAGAAGCAACCTGTGGTGCGTTTGTATTGTAAGTGAATAACACGATTTCAATAATTTATACAAACCTTTTAGAGAATGGCAATCCACGCAATTGTATTATAATCGATATCGAATATTAGCCGGGGCTACGGTTGCAGACTGTGCAATGCAAAGCTATCTATGAAACATTGTAATCTCGAACTGATCTCGGTAGATATCTGTGATCGTGCAAATTGCTCTACATTTATCTAAATGACTATAGATACGCACGCTGACCGTTATTTAGCAATAAATAAGAGCCTGCCCCTTGTCTTACCATGTTAAAATGAATGGAATTTATTTTTTATAGTATTTTTTTGAGATAAGGACCTCAAAATGAACATTTATGTAATGCTGTACGTATTTAAAATTATTTATAATTAATTTGTAATGAAACTTATAAGATGTAATGAAGAAGGACAGGTGTAATCCATTTATGTTAAAATCGGAACGGTCCACGATTTTCTTTAGTCATAGTACTCGAGTGGCTTCCGTGACGTCTACAAGTATCAAGTTCGCGAGGCCGCAGTACTTGTCGGCTGTGGCTCAAGAGTCGAGCGCCCAAGTGCGAAATGTCTCCGTCTACGGGACGCTTCCCACCGCCCTTCTACAGCAAACAAGTGCCTCAGACGATGTGGTCCAGGACCGCTCTAGAAGGGGAGCGATTCCCCTTCGCCGTTGTCGAGCTAAGAACAAATTCCGCGCCAAATATCGCATTTGTATAATTTGAATACGCCTATGGAGCGCGCATGATGCGCCTTATCTCCCCACCTTGTAGTGTCGAATTTATTCGGCCGTTACTCTGCCGCGCAGGTCTCGCCGTTGCACGGAGCGGGCGCCGAACGCGTAAAGACGACGATTGAAGCCCGAACGGTGACACAATGAGGGCAATTTGTGTCGCACCGAGAGCGCCCCGCCGTATCTCCGCCGATATTTTACCTTAACTACGGATCACACGTTGGAAACGCTCGGCGGCCGAAGTGTTCGTACGGAAATATTGCGCGCGGTTTATCTGGTACAAGTGTGGATGATGCACTCATTTGCGAGTTTATTCGTCGACAGGACCGGATGTCTCTTTATCGATTTTATACGAGTTGGGGAGGAGTATGTAGTAGCGAAGCTCTATTTAAAACGCATTGATTGTAGAATATTTTGTAGAGAATTTAACCAAAAGCAATTTTGCCAATATTTACGATAATATTCTTATAATATTCTAATATTCATTGTAATAACGTCTGTTTAGATTTTGGATTCATGAAACGTTATCAAAAAACCTCATCTACATCAAACGAAAAAGACACAATGAATGTTCAGTCATAAATAATTCCTTATACTTGGTGAGTAGAGGCGTTTGTGAAGGAATTAAATGAAAAAGACTATTTCATTAAAAGCGTTCTCATTTAAAGGCGACGCGACGGTGCAAAGGCGTCGGCGCGTATTGCAAATTGCGACACGGAATGGGCAGGTTATCAGTTGTTTAGGAGGCGCGTATCGGTGCCGGGATCGCGTCGTGACTCAGCCGTCGCCGGAAGGAGCGGGCCACTAACTCAGCGGCGCGAGATGCGGCTCCAGATAAGGCGGTGCCCGGAACAGCCCGCCGCGGGCAGGTAGAGCGCCCGGACCTTGGCCAATTTCGCACCCGCTACGCCCGCTTACGCCGGACGCTGCTACGAAACTCCCCGGTGCCTCCTCTGTTGACCACTCACGAGAGGCGGCTTCAGTTAATTTGCGGATTTATTTATATTATGTTCGATCAATTATATGGGCTAGAAAGGGCATGGCCCATACATACTCCCGTGTTTTGTAATTAAAAACTTCACATATAATACTTGCAAGATGGAAGAAGAATTACATATAAACAAACATTTTTGTGAATTGCTTCTTATTACCTATGATTTTCACTCAACCAACGGTAAAAAACGGGTTGACTGGGAGAGAATGCCTAAAGGCATTAAGTTCGCCCTTTGTAGTCCTTGATTAAGGTAATTGCAATAAAGTATAAATAAAAAGAAATGATATTATAAAAAAAAAGTACGGTAAAGAGTATTATAATTTAATAAAGTAAAAAGTAAAGTGTAATATTATATTATTCGTATATCGTTTTACTTTTACTTATAATACTTTAGGTATAATATAATATACCATAATACCGTTTGTTTTTCCCCAGAAAGTAGTAAGAACAATTTTTAATATACCAGACGTTGAACACCAGACAGAGGCATAACGAGGTTTACCTTTACGAATTGGCGACACACGCTCCACTTGGTGCCAAATTGTGTTGTCAGTTGTATTGTTCAGATTAGTGGAATCGAAACCACGATCCCCGCCTAGGCCGATAGCTCAGCAACTGCGCCATAAAGCCATCAACAGGTACACCATGTACACATGGTTATATTAGCTTAATTAACAAGAGGGCGGCTAGTGTAGGAAACAGTTCGGCTGCACGTGGGGCCCCATTTTACGAGCGCCATAAAGCGATGGCACCAGGTCCGGTTGGGAGGCGCTCAAACGCATACAGAACACTTATACGTTGATCTCCCTATAACACTATATGATACTTGTCTCATCTCCATAGAAAAAAAGACTTGCCAGTTTATATTCACAAAATCTGTTAATAAAAATTGCCTACGCTATAGGTTCTACTGAAAGTGTAAATAGAGGACTTTTTTTCAGTCGAGTCTGCTGAGATTATCGCTTAAGATGTGTGATTTTCGACCACTTAAGTTCATATGTATGCAAAGTATTTCAAATTCAAGAGTCAACTTATTCGATTGATGATTGCTTCGAGCACTTGTGAACGCCATATCAGCCATATCCTTTTCCCATTTTTTTATTTCCGCAGAGTATGAACAAGAAATTATTCCGTTATAATGTATCTAACATATAAATAATATTTACATTTAGCAAACACTATAAATTTCAAAATAAAACTTCTCAGTCCATCTAAGACTAAAGCCATATCGTGACCGTGAATTCTTAAAAACAGTGTCATTTAGGGAATGATTCACAATCGTAAGACAAAGTAACCTCAAATAAATATGACCAAGCAACATCGGTGGGGTGCGCAGTAAGCAATGACGTCATAGGCCTAGTCCATCGCATCGCCCCACTTGTGGGCCTGCCCATTAGGGTCAAATCGGCGACAGTCCTGCGCTGTCTCGTCACGTGCGAAGAATGCGAGGTACGGACGGAGCGTGCTATCCGGCGCCGGCAACAGGTAAGCGACGCGCAATGCAATGCAGTCGCCGCTGCGTTTGTCACATCTTACGCGCTTTGCTAGTTCTTTTGCGTTGTTACATAACATCAGTTGGCATAGCGGTCGAGCATTAAACGGTTGATTAGAAAAGTCCCTTTGGAATTTGACGGGGCTCCGCCGTTATGGAAATTTATTACTTGTAACGATTATTTAAATAGGTAATGATATTTACGTCGTTCATTTCGATGTAACTGTTAATATGGAAAATTGGAGTGCTTATCGGCAAACAATAGCGACCTTATCCGTTATCAGAAGATCAGCCAGAGAAGACGTTGCTCTGTGGCTTATTTATTAAAATTATATCCAACTTAGATTGCAAAATTGTTAAAATTGGTATATTTGTTGGAAATACGAAACTAGATTGCATTATGGGTCGGTCAAGATCCAAATTTGAAATTTTATCGGCGGGAAGCCCGACATGTCGTTTACATTTGAACTTTAACTTTCGCTAATTGAGATTAATCATTACAGTAACACAAACTCCCAACTCATTAATTGAAATGTGAGTCGCTATGATTGGAGCGGCTCATATAAAAAAATCCGTCTCAAACCTTTATTTCAACATACGGAAAGGTAAGTTTGGTCAAGTGTTAAAAAAGTAAGTATTTGTATCGTTTTAATTTGTACAAACGAATTTGAAACGAGACAATTCACCAATCAAAACACGACCGTACCTGTGTCGAGGAGGAACTAGCAGAATATACACATAAGGAAAAAACGTTTTGGCAATTTTAAAGTATGTATATAAAAGTTAAGTTACAGAAAAAGCTTTAAAATAACTCTTTATTAACACGGAAACGGTGTTAACAAAAAGAATTTTATACTTCTTTAAGTCACCCAAAAAGTAGTAAAACTCCGAGAATAAGTGCGAACGTTTTGTATTCGGTTTATGACAGATCTGTTTTAACATTTATTTTGCAATAAACTCGGCGAAACGGAAACAAAAACCGTTGGAACAGTGAAAACCGTGGGGCTATCGGACGAGATCTCGCCCAAGGCTCAAATATACCGAATGTACAACTTGCCTTGAACATAGTGGACCGTGATTTATGCCTGCGTGTGTGGAATTAATTTTTTTAGTGGACGCTCCAAGTCGAAATGTATGCAGAATAGCTAAATGGCTCGTTAGCAGAGGCGCGATGCTCGTAAATCACCAGCGCGGGTTCTATTCCGCGATTGGATACATTTCAAAAGTTTTATTGCACGTTCCGGTGTTAATTTAAGCTTCTCAATACGTTTGATGGTTTTTTAAAGACGTGCTTCGCCATTATATATTCACATACGCTACAAGGCACTGTTTTATTTATGGGTTAACGAGCGGACCTCTATGACAGTTTGTATAATCAAGTATACTGGTATTTATGTACAAGCGACGGCTTGTGTACATTTATTTTAGCCCTGCTACGTTTTCTTAATCATTAAATATCGTAAATCGTTAAATAAGATCCCCAGAAAGTTTTCCTATTAAATTCTGAATTTAATCTATTAAGTAACATACGGAATATGAGAGGATTTTAATAAAATACAGGACGAAACACGAATGATACGAAGCATGTTGCTATTTATGACATATAAAACATTACAATTTGATGCGATAGAACTAAATTATAAGTAGCTTAGGAAAGCTTAGACCAAATAAACAATAAAGTACCACCGGAAAATGCTCGTGCTACTATGTTATTTTATTAAGAAAAATCTCTTGACTTCTCAATTTTATTTACAATTCTACAATCTAGAACATTAAATTACATTTACATGTACATAATTCACTTGTGGAGCATTGTACTCGTACATTAAAAAAAAATAACATACATAAAATAAATACATTCAAATGTATGCTTGCGTTAGATTTATCGAAAATCTTATATCTCATATCTTAATATTGGCACTAAAATGTTTATTGAGATAATTAAAATAATTAATTACGCTATACTTATTAACAATTGAGTAAAACTCGTTTCAGGTATCCTACGCCGTGTCTTTATAAATTAAATTTAATTAACGTTACTTTGTTTGTCTTTTTGTTAAGAACTCCAATGTAATGATGAACTCAAAATTATAAAATAAACCAACTGTATATTAACTGAAATTACAACTATATGCGGGTAAATGTAAAAAATATGTAGAGGCTTGACTGTATATTTGAATAGAGAAACTTATTATAATCAAGTTAATTTGGTTAATATAGGTAGTGCTAAGAGCTATCGAATATCCGAGCTGTAATAGAAATTGAAAAAAAAAATCGACTCCCGAACTACGTTTTGGCCAAAACTTGACATATAAATGACTTTGTTTAATGTTCGGCCTTTTCTATAGCACCTCATTCATTTCGGGTACCGGTTTTTGAGTTTAAAAAATTGAGACGTTTAAATCAATTCGTTTATTGCACAATATTTAATGACGAAAACAATATTTACATGTCTCTAAGCAAATTTCTTGTGCGGTAGAATCTCGCTTCCGTAACTGGTTTGGAGAATGCAAAAACAAGCGTAACACGTCCTATATATTGTGATATGTATGAAGAGAAAACATTTCAAATCAAAATTATCTGAATAACGACATGTAGAATACATAATTACGTCGATTAGTCGATATGAGGCGCGCGTGCGGTGGATTAATAAAAAGAATACACGTGGAAAACTTACAAAAATTCCTTATGCGTGTTGCGATGGAGACGACGAACTGTATATAGCAAACTGTGACACTTGAATGTTCGTTACACAAGGTTGGGGGCACAGGCACTGGCTCACTGCGGTGGACGCGCGTGCGTTCAGAGCGGAGCGCGCGGGGCGACTGAGCGGCGGCTGGGCGGCGGGCGGGAGGGGCGGGCGGCGGCGGGCGGGGCGGAAGCGCGATGGGGCGGGCGGCCAGTGGGCGGGGAGCGCCGGCCCTAATCGAGGCGCCCTAATTGATCGGCGGCCGCCGCGCCGCCGCGACGCCAATCCAGCTGCGCCCGCGGCCGCCGACACCGACGCCGACGTCTCACTGCCGATAGGCGCAATGTTCAATGGCCCATGCTCACTGATGACGCCCTCAAGCGCAGCCCTCTCGGCCTCTGCCAAATGCGAGTCACTAAGAAATATAGTCAATGGTGCTATAATACAGACAGTTATTTTGGATATACGAATAATGCTATTATTGCTGAAGTGGTGGACTCCGCGCCAAGCATATCGAAAGTGAAGCATCGTACAACTCATGTGCTAGTGATTTAAGGGACGCCAGATGAATGAAAATTTGCCAATTTTTTAAATACATTGCCAATTTGTTTATTTATTTTAATAAAACAGTACAAGAAGTACACTTATATTATTTAATTGAAAAGACAAAGTATAATAAAAAAACTTAAAATAAAATAAAAGATATTTGAAATATTCAGAAGCGCACGACTCACACGTGTAGTATATTACAACACGTGGAATACAAGAGAATAAACGGAGTGATAACAAATTGAATAAAAAAAATAGTTACAACGATTTTTACAAGAGAGAAATCGGAGAAGTCGACTTTCTTTAATAACTTTTAAATGGTTGTGCGTTGAAAAATCAATAGGGATCCTCCTTAGAATAAATGGAAACTTATTTAATAAAATTTATCTTACTTCATTCAAGACGACCAAACGACGCACAGACCAACTATAATTTAATGTCTAGTTATTTAAACATTTATAGTAATATGAATTTGACGTCAAGCTTAGAGTATAAAAAGATTTTATGTAGCAATACTGGAGTAAGCCCACATGTCGAGAGTAAAGGCCCATTTACACGGTGCCAGTTTCTTGCCTGTTGTATACAATTAAATTGAAGCAATAAATGAGTTGCATGGTCTAAACAACAAATGGTCTTAATAATTATTGCGCGCAATTTATTGCATTCAATTATTGCTCTTGTATGTACAAGAAAATGGTATCGTGTAAATGGGCCTTAAAGCACTTTCACAGGCTGCGCATTGTGCAATTAAGTGTTTCTTTTGTATGAATAACAAGAAAAGCGCTGTAGCATAGGTGAAATCCTTTTACGTTGGGTTAAATATTTATATGCCTGCCTTTTATTGTTCACCGTCCTTACAATACAATCTATTTTTTCTGAAATACATTTAATCATATTGATTTCTTAATCTATTCATGAAAAAATATACTCGAGTGTTAAACTTAAAAAAAAGTCACTTGAAATACATTTTTCTAATGGTAATTTAGTTCGTATATTTGTTGGGTTGTAGATGCGTTGCCACTTATTAATAAAGTGGGCCCCGGCTACCCCACTCACCAGACGAAACGCAAAAAACAAAAGAGCAACAGTTCCACTTCACGCCGGTCTTCTGTGAGGTAGTGGTACTTGCCCAGATTGCCCATTCATGCAGCAGCGAACTACTCCGTGGGCCTACCAAAGTTACATCTAAATTAATACGAGTACCACATGTCGTGCTCTTAGATGGAATCCAATGATCTTCACTCTGCATTTTCTATTACAATTTTTATCCAATTATTGTTCCAGGGGTGATTTGTTGTACGAAATATATAAAGATACTTTCAATCAATACTTGAAAATAATTACAAAGCACACATAAAAATTGGTTACATAATCCCTCTAAAAGTATCTATTTAATTGCTGAAAACCCTTATACATGGTATGTTTAAAACGTCAAAAATATAATAGATCAACTAGTTTAATTATTAGTGTCTTATTCATAGTATGTTATTCCTTAACATTTCTTCTAGGACCATTTCACGTCATAAGATGGCATTACCTACATAGGCGCCATCGTGCCCCGTAACGGCGAGTCAAAGGTTTGGTATGACGTAAATGTGCGCATGAGACATTTATGGACAAACGACCTGGCTTATTTACTATTAACTTTGGATTTTCATAGTGAGCCAGTACGGGGTCGTAGTTTAAGACATGTAGAAAGTGTTTTATGTAATATTTCAAAAGCCTTACATTCGATGAATAGAGACCTGTTTGGCCATTAAACTATTGTTCGGTACATTTTAATTCCGTATGAAACCTACACGTTTATGAAAAAATCTTATAGAATCCGGCGGGAACTAGAGATTCACTCTTAGCAATGTCCCGAGAGTGAGATGATTATCACTCAATTTGCACACATAACAAATAAAAAGGGAAAAAACAATTTTTATAACCATCTCAAACTAACAAAATTTGACTTTGAAATACTGTGTGGACGTCAGAACCTCATTGAAATGCGAAGAGACTTTAAAATATTTTTTAACTCTTCAATAGTTTAATAGTTTAACATGTTTATTATAAAAAGAATTTACAATTATGTAAAAATCCGAGCGGACCACTTAATTTTTATTAATTTTATTGCGCTCGCTGTTACGGAAAATGAGAAAATTATCTAAATCGGTGGAAGCTCTAAATCGTCCGTGAAGTCGTGAAGCCGACACCGATCTACCGTGCCGCCATCTCTAAACTAAAGAATATGTTTATAAATATTTATGAGAGCACACAATATCTTCTCGTTGTAGGTACTCTATAAATGCCTACGAATTGCATATTAAAATATGTCATTTCACTGCCACCTCTATCTGTGAGCCTTCCATGGATCAAGTTTATTCAGAGGAAACCCATGTCACGGAGAGTACTACGAGGCTATTTCGAATGGTAACTGCTGTTATGTAACACACGATATTTTTCGTAGTATTCCAACGGGTGAATTTTGTTAGCTTTAGTTAAAAAATAATTTTAGTTATATACGTGAAATATGTTTTTGTTTTTTATAACAAATTTTCAAAGCCAATGTCATAATCAATTTATTATTACTGCCCTTAATACAATTTATATTGGACATGTAACAGCCTAAAACGATAATCTAAAAAATAATCAATATCTAATAGCTATAGCGACCAGGTCTGATAGCTGATAATGATTTATCTTTGACTTTTAGGGTTCCGTATCCAAATGGTAAAACGGGTCCCTATTACTAAGTCTATGCCGTCTATCTGTCCGTCTGCCACCAGGCTCTATCTAATGAACCGTGATAGTGAGACTTATGAAATTTTCACAGACGATGTAATTCGGTTGCCGCTACAACAACAAATACAAAAAAAAAACAGGATAAAAAAATGTTTAAGTGGGGCTCCCATACAACAGACATGATTTTAGTCGTTTTTATAGATAATGGTACGAAACCCTTCGTGCGCGTATCTGACTCAAGCTTGGTCGGTTTTTTTAGTCCTCTCTCTCACTCTCTCCTGTGAGAAAAGTATTTAAGTTTTTCTAATGATTAACATGCGTAAAATTTTTAAACAGGTCAACAAAGAAGTGTGTCATCCTTCGAGTGAAGGATTAGAATTGATCATGAACAAGTTGAAAGGCGATCGAACACAATGCACTCTTCTCGGAAAGTAATTAGTGCATTTCGCAGTAACGCGTGGCTAGCTCTGCCCAGCCTAGCTCAACTAGAGCGTGCCACGGCGCTTCCCACGCCCATAACTGATTAGTTATATTATTAGTGCAGTTAAGAGATATACCAAAAATAATATTTTAATTTCTTTCGAAAGGGTTTTCAAGAATTTTGGAATATTTTCTCTCACCTTATGTCCGTAAAAGTGCTTTCTTTTAAACTTCAGTATGACAACGGCTTAAAAATTATTTTTTAGGCCCTAAGGCTGCGACTGTATAGAATGGTGTTATGAACAGGTTGTAAATAACGTTGGCAGTAGGTAACACCGTACACAGGAGCTAATACCCACCGATGCTTAATCGGACTCACAGAATACTTCTGCGTGATATACTAATCAGGCGGTTAGAGGAGAACCCGCGTTAAGTGAACTTTGAGGAAACAGCCACGAGGTAACACATTAACATTTATAACGAGTATGTTCGGGCTCGCCAGCGTCCACACGCTTCTTTATGACACGGGCATCATGGGTCCCGTGACTTTGCCGTCTCGTTTGAGCGGTGGTAACTATTTATCGCTGTTACAAACTTATTTTGAACTTATTTTTTGTAGTGGACGGTCTCTAATGATAGATATTTCCGAAACTAAAACAGTGCTGTGTTCCAACACGAAGGAGCATCGGCGCATTTTGCTCCTAAAATGAGACAACACATTGACGTTCACTCCCCGTGAGGATATGATTAGTGAAGGACAAAGGGTCCGCCGATTGTCCGACAAGATGTGGAAATGACACAACGCGTGAGATCCGTTTTCTCAAAAATCCCTGTATCTCGATTTGAGGTTATGTATCCAGCAAGACCACTCTTTGAGAAACTCCTCTAAATCGTTTGAGTAAAATCGAAAATTAGAACTTTATTCGGTGAAACAATGCTTAAAAATTAAATAAAAAAACAGAGAAGATAAACTTCGTTGAGATTTTCATCGGCGTGAAGACATAGCCTATGGGACTTACGTAAGTGACCTTTGATCCCTTTAGGTTTTGGTCGGGGCTTTAGTTAGCGGCTTTCATTTATTTTATTTTTTAATAACATGTATAATAATTAATAATCAATTTACTATTTTATTTATCTTGGTATTATGAATAGCGCATAATAAGGAGATAAATATATTGCTCTAGTTTACGTCAATATTAAGTTAGTGTTTTTTAAAATTTCATGATCTACGATATATGTGTTATGGCCGCGAAATAGTTTCTACTTTTGCACGAATGGGCAGACTCGTTCGGGGAGATACCACGGCCTTACAGAAAACCACCGCATTATTCTTTTGCGTTTGGTGTGATGACTAAGATATCGTTTCTAATGTTTGGCGACGATACCTCATGTGTTGTTCATGTCCATGTGCAATGGTTATCTCCTAACATTTGGTGGAACCCTAGCTCGCTTGCCAACTTTTGTTTCCAGAATTAAGTTTAGTCTGAATCGTGATTCTAATTCACTATCTAAAATCAAGAGTAAACTTTCTGAGCTTGTACGAAAAGTTTATACAGTAAACAGGATTTCATATTGTGATCCCTGAGTAGCCCACAACATTTTCACTTCTCATAAAATAGTTGAAAGTTCTGAATGGACACGAAATGTGCGAGCAAGAAGAACTGATTCATTTGGTGAAAAGGGCCGCTGAGCCATTTCAATCTATTATATATTTATACTAGCAACCCGCCCCGGCTTCGCACGAGTGCAATGTATCATACCTATAAACATTCCTCTTGAATCACTGTATCTAGTAAAAAAAAAGCCGCATCAAGATCCGTTGCG